TAGAAACAAGCACGGAATTGTTGGCTCGATCTCGAAAATTAGTTCATTTGTCGAATATCATGACAAATTTCACAGCTGATAGCTGGACGATTTTAAATGATGCACAGCTGGGGATCCGTTCAATTGATCGTTCTGAATGGGCTACAATTTTCAGGTTTTCTTAAAATCGATTACCAAATTAAATATCTGACAGAATAAAGAAAGTTACTGCAGTTGAAATTCTGTAATTGAAATTGCAGTTGAAATTCCAGTAAAACTCATTAGTCTGCAGGGAGTATATGGTATCAATAGCAGAAACAGTGGATGATCGACGTCCGATTCGTAGAGAACTTCAAAAACCAGATGAAATTGATAACATTCACAACAAGTGGACTTTCCCAACTGCCTTACTATATGTGCTTACTGTTCTTACTACATGTGGTACATTTTTTCTTAAAATCTCCAAACCTCATTTATTTAATTAAAATTTATAAAATTTTCATTAGCTTTGCAAAGTGATAATACGAAGAGATGCATCCAAAAAGTTAAAGAATTGTACAGCTAAGTCGTATTTCAGGATATGGTGAAGTATCAGTCGATACAGATTTAGGAAAAGTATTTGCGGTAGCATTTGCTTTAGTTGGCATACCTCTTATGTTTATTACAGCTGCAGATATAGGCAAATTTTTATCGGAAACACTGCTTCGTTTCGTTTCAAACTGGAACAAAATGTCACACAAAATGAAGGTGTGTTTTCAAATTACTGACATTGCACTTTCATGAAGGCATTAAACTTTCCATAATGTTGCTGCACAGTCATTCATATCTTTCTTAATTTTATGTATGAATAAGTTCAGCAAATCCTGTTTCGAAAACGTTATATGCGAAGGAAATCATCACAATCAACAAGCGGTCATTCCGATGTCATAGATATTTTCGGCGTTGAAGGAAGTGATGGGAAATTATGGTTTCCAATTGGTATATTCTTTATCGCTTTAATTTTTTAATTTTAGCTAATGTTCTCAAAGTTTTCTAATGGCAGTTATAATTATAGTGCTAGCCCGAATGGTTACATGTATCATTAAAATATTTGTAAACTCCCAGAGAGTTCAAGAATACTTCAGTGATAACCATGATCACTGAGGTTTTGTTAACCATAAATATCTAAAAACCTTAAGATTTATGATAAGAGAAACATTTCTTTAAAAGCAAGAAGATTGAAAAATTTCTTTAAAAATTAGATAAGTTTCCATTTTATCCAGGAGCTTATGTGTCATGTATCTGTTTATACTGCTCGATGGGTTCCGCTATGTTCATCAATTGGGAGCGTTCGTGGTCTTTCCTACATGCTTTTCATTTTGGCTTCAATCTTATTGTAACTGTTGGCCTTGGCGATATCGTCGTTGTTGATTACATTTTCTTATCACTTATTGTCGCTTTTGTCATCGTTGGTTAGTTAGTTATCCTTCCATTTCCAAAATATAAATCATATGGTATCCTTTTTCTTTCGAGAAAAAGTGAAAAATTGCCTCATTTATTTGAAGCCAGGATGGAAAGGGATTTTTATTGGCATAATACATCAGTCCATGAAAGGATTTTTTCATTTTGCCGATAAGATAAGTGCTGGATTTTTCTCAACTTTATCCAATTTTTATCGTAAATAATATAATTAGTATATTTACAACAACTTTGGTGGTATATTCTGATCACCTTTTGTTCCATTCATTACTGTGGTAATAGACTGCCAAATATTTCTGATTAAAACATATGTAGAATGGGTTCATTTCCTTTATGAAATTATGATTTATATGTTTTATATGCATCTTATTAATGTTTCTACAGGTTTATCAGTTGTTACGATGTGTATTGACTTAGCATCAACACATCTGAAAGCATATTTCACTCGTTTCCACTATTTTGGACGAGCCAAAAAATTTCTTGGTATGAGCGAAGAACTCAAGGAAATTGTAGTTCTACTAAGAGCAATGAGGAGGAAAAAAGGAGGAAAGGTATGCGTAATTTTTTATTTACTAGATTTTATGTTGTTGAAAATGATTTGCATTTTGAACTTGCTGTTTAAAGTCCAGAGTTAAGTATTTTCATTCCCATATTTGTTAGGTCACTTGGAATGATGTTCGGGCATTTCTGGATAGTGAACTACGGGATCGACCATTTGAACCTCACGAACTTCTCATGAAATTACGTTTTATCGATGAAACTTCGTCTGGAATGTCCACAATACGGCATAATTCGTTCCAGTCCGATTTCTTCCGTGATACCGAATATCTACGAAGAGTAACTGCTTTACGTCCCGAACAACCCGCATATCTATAATCAAAATATTGTTTTGCCTATCCTATAAAGTTCACCCATTCCTTTTGTTTTTAACACGGTTTTTGCTTTGAAAAATCCCCTATTGATGATAATGTGAAAGTATCAAAATTGCCTCCATATCGAAAAGTCGATAATAGGTTTTTCTGACGAGAATAAAGTAACTTAAAGTCATAATATAACCCAGTGCCTCAGAAATGCTATCATAATAGTGATAGTATGAATGCCGTTGTTAGCATAAAAAGTCAACAAGCTATATGATATAGCATTAATTTCTGTCTCCTCAATGATCATTTTGCTCATGATTGTAATTTTCTCAAGTAAACAGGGTGTTTTTTCTGTCAAATTATCCCATCTCGTAACAAATCTCACTTTCCACATTTTTTCCTTGCTTCATTCTAAAATCAGTTCGTTTCGTTTTATTTTTCTACATTCTTATAATTTATTTCCTTTTTCTTTTTCTTTATTCAGTGTTTTCGATCGTTAATTTTTTAGCTTTTGCTCTTTATTTAAATAAATCAAGTTAATGAACTTTAATATTTGTGGTAGAAACAATGCGGTTTCTGTTTCAGTCATATAGGAGCGAGGCGATTGCGAGCTATTTCATTTGTTTAAGCGCTCTCGATTACGGATAACTTCAGTCTACTCAAAGCAAGTAATAAAAACTCGTTGAGATCACATGAGTGAAAAACGAAACTAAACAGACAAAATTTTAAGTTAAATGAACAAAAGTTTTTTTTATATTAAAACATATAAATTTGAACTTGTTTCCCGAAAAGCTTTTAGCCTTGTGTAATTAAATTGGATTTTGGAAATTTGTGTCTATCTTTGAACATTGGAAAACAACAGATTTGTTGACGCTTCTTCCGGTCCCTTTAACTCACTTCTTAACTCGATATGAAAGCATTGAGGCTAAATATTGAAGTCGTTCATTTCAATACGTTTCGTTTCTGTGTTAATCAGATGGACATTGCGACGTGTTTTTGAAAGAATAGACGTTTTTTAAACTTCGATGATTTATAAGTTGATGTAACTTTCTGTATTGAAAAATTTTTACGAAGATCAATTTCATTCACTGTTGGTTGATGTATTGCTGCCAGTTTTCTTGATGATTATTTTGTGACTATTCAATTTGCCGACTTCATCACCTCATGTCGAAATTCAGAATTCGGAAAAAATTTCCAAAAAAATGAAGCCTCATCTAACTAACTATACAGCAAGTCGACAAAAAATTATGCTCAAAAGCATGGCACTATAATAGTAAAGAGTTAAATGTGAGATTGAATGAGCGCTAATAATCACCTATTTTTTTAGGCACTGAAGAACGATATGTTTCTCTAGAATCTGTAACGAAGCTCTCATAATTTTTGCAAGAGGAAATTGAAATGTCTTATTACAAGTTCACTGTTCAGTTACTATATCACTTCATTGTTAAATGATAAATTAATAATCGATGTAAAAAAAACAAAGTGATTTTTAGACTATTTTTTTTGGAAGCTTTTTTTTAGGGTTTTCGAGTAAAATCAATAAGAGAAGACAAAAAGAACTATAAAAAGAAAAAAGAAATTTATAAATTTTTACATTTAATTCCAAAAAAAAGTGAAAAAATTGATTAAGTAGTTTTTAGAAATATAAATTGGGATATTGAGAATATGTAGATGAATATCTGATACAATACTTACAGTGTTAATAATTAATGTAAAAAATCTAAGTACTCTTACTCTTCAGTAATAATCACTCAATTTTAAACTTCTTATTAAAGCGATTGTTATAAAATTAACATAAGAGCCTGAAATTTTTGACAATAGACCTGAGTGATAGATTATCATTTACGGCGTATTTTCGTTCCATAAAAGTAAAACATCGGGTCCAGTAATGGAACTTTTCTCAAAGTACAAAATCGCTTAGAATGATTTGAATTAAAAAATAACTGTTCTTTATTTCGACATCAATTCCCATTCACACGATTCTTATTTATATTTATAAAAATTTAATTAATCATATGTTATCCTTCATAAGATACTTTTGATTAATATCTGCTGACTTTTTCCCGTAACATAGTTCGATACTCGGATTCTTAAAATAAAAAAGTTATTTCCACAAATACTTTTTTGACAACATCTGCTATTTACGAGTAGGCTTTGCATGACTTGGAATATTAATGCTGCAAAGTAAGTTTTATTTCTAGATTCAAAGCTGAAATGAATCTATATGATGGGCTATATAATATATTTAATACTAAAAAAAGACAATTGTTGCAACATTTTCGCTTCAAAACTGGTTAAATTGTTGGAATTCAATTTTTCAAGGAATTTCCAAAAAAAGCTCAAGCAAGTTCTATTCAGCTACTTCAACCTGCTCTTAACTAATAATTTTTACTACTTATCATCAGAGAATCATAAATAAAAATCATTGAATTTTTAAATTAATGTTGAGGAACGATGCTAGATGTTGATGAAAAAGGTTGGGAATGAAGATAGCAGCCAGGAAGACAAAAAACGTCGCAAGATGTTGCTTTCTTTTCATATCGTCTCATTCTAACTCTATGCATATCATTATAATACATATGGTGTGCTGTCTTCAAATCCCAAATGGTTTTTTGAATACATCGAGCGAAAGTCCTGCAAACTTTTAGAATAAGGGGAGATGAACTGCTAGCACCATCTTTTCCAGAAAAGCCACCAGGATAAATGCTTCATGACCAGACGAAATGCCAAACGCATAATAACAGTTCGTGGTTTCGTGAATCTTTACGAACGTCATCCGAGCCAGTTCACTTCTATGATTACGAGCGACAACTAAAACCACCAAAATCCTTGAGCAATTTTAAATCACTTTCATCAGTCCTTGGAAAAAACCGAATATGTCCAAATGAATTTCTATCGAATCCATAGCACTAAAGACGACTCTTCTAGTGTTTCCGAAACAGATATTTCAAGCTAACACTTCCTAAAGGCAATAAAATTATCGCGTTAGCTGTACATTTCATGTTTATTGCTTCATGACGGCATTTTTTAAATATGAGTTGTAAGAAATAAATATTGTGAGGATTTTATAACAATAAATTATAGATTGTATCCCGTCCTTGGTTCAATACATCAATCCTTTAAGAATTATGGAACACAAATTCACTTTCAATTACTGATTGAAGAACTAAAAAGATGCTTTCTTAAAATTTTGAGGATATGTGTTTTGAACATATTTGGGTTATAAACTTCAGAAACGGATCAGTGGATTAACTCAAATTGACCTTGATACCTTATAGTGGAAAGGAAGGAAATTCCAAAATTCAAAATTATAATAAAACAATATTAATTCTGACTGGTTTGCTTATATTGATTTCCTAATTGCTTTTCAGATTTTTAGGAAACAGTCTACTTAGATAAAATATCAAAATCCACAGATGCAATTAACAAGCTTTCAGAAATGTGGAACAGTGAGAGATGAAAGTGAACTGAAAGAAAAATTCACCAGCGAAGTAATGTAATGTTTCAAAGAATGTCTCTTCATAGAAAACATTATGCAAGTTTTTCATGAATACAAAAATATTGCTTTCCTCTGCTTCATTTTTTGCTTCTTCTTGCTTTGAAAACTTGTACAATTCCATAATGGAAAAACCGGATATAATATGTCGAAATGAATTTGTACTGAATCCATAAGTCGTATTTTTAGATAAATGTTTTCAATCATCAAATCCGTTATGCAATAATCATCTGCATTGTCTGGAGTTTCACAGTTTGCTAACAAAGAATATGTGCATTACTTATTATCAAGATCTTCCAGCCTAAAAGCCAAACTCAGATTTGACTATTCTTTGCTTCAACCAACCTTCTTTGTTCTAAACCAAATTTACTTGCAATGTCTGAGAATTGTAATTCACTACTATGAGCAGCTGATTAGGAACAGCTGTTTACTCACAGTAATCATACAGTTCCTATTCTATGTTCAGTGACAACTTTTATCTTAATAAAATAAAGATCAGTTCTAACTCCAGTCTTCGCTGCAAAGTATTATTGGTAGCTTAATATCCAGAAATTAAACTGACGGCGTTTATGCCCAAACTAATATTCTTTTGTTTACAATATATCTTGATTTTCTGTGTTTTGGCTCGCAACTTCCAAAGCTTCAGAAAACTATTCAAACAGAGAGATTTACTAAAACAACTGGAACTCTATACAGGAATTTCATTAACCGGAACTATGGTCTTGGACTATATAACTCTTCCAACGATCTCCCAAAGCATCTGAACATTTACTCTGAAATTTAATTCAAAAAACTACTTTCAACGAGACCCTTCACCTAGAAAAGATTTGATAGAATTGTGAAACCAGATGCTATTTCTCGCACTGTCATTCATCATTCCCGCCCTTAGTACTTCGACAATCAGCAAAATTTTAGAAGAGGTTTTTTCTGAAGATTTACTGTGAGCACGGTTCTATTTTAAAGCCAGTCGCTCTTCTGACAATCGTGACGATGGGGACCAGATGTAGATCAAAGGCTATTTAAATTTTTACCACATTTTAACAAATCATTAACTTCCACGCATTACTGAAACAGCTCTTAAAGTGGACTTTACTATTACAATAGGTCCATAGTAACTCACTTTAAATAATTTCAATGCTGATGCATTGATACAAATGATAAACGGTATATAAACTAGTTAAGCAGGTTGTACATGAAAAGGGTAAAGTACCAATGAACGAATGACTACGAATACTTCCTAACACAAAAATGAACTGTTAAATCGAACAGTAGTAACGAGATGCGATGCCTGGCTAAAAACTTAGTTATAACCATAACTAAACTTCTCATAAAATTCGTTACTGGTACTATAAAGAACTATTTAAAATCAAAGTACCTAATAATAGCAAAAATGGCACATTATCACAAATTCTTCGGTTCTATATGACACGAACATAATGTGTGTATTGCTCAAGTCATGAATAAAAAAATGAACAACCAAGAAAATAATATGCAATAGTTCGCAAAAGTCAACAACTCAGGTCTAACTCTTTTTTTTCTATGATTTTCTTACATATCCTTTCATAGCTTCACCAGTGATAAAAACAATTTAATGAAAGTAATAGACCTTTTTTAAAGTCATTACACTTGACAATTTAATGCCAATAAATAAATGATATGAATTAATTCTCGAAAGTAACCAGTAGAAAAAAATTCTAAACCATTTTATGCAAGATCCGAATTCATAAAAAGAGGTCAACAATGATCGAATGATAAGCAACCAGATGGTAGAATTCAGAACGTAGAAAAAATATCAAAATGAATAGCTTTCGGGAAATACATTAAACACACGACCAATCAACAAACGGTCATGGATCCACTATTATTTAATAAGAAGTAATCGCAATGAGAGCATCAAGCGATGGGGAATAAGAAAGTGATTTTTAAAGACCAATGAAAATATTATCAAACAAAAGCTAGTGCTCTATTTGAAGAAGTCTATATCAAAAGCAAAATGGAAATACGTAGAAAGCGATACAATAAAAAAGGATATTCATATTATGACCAACTAGAAATAATTTTTAATGATTGTAACATAAACGAGCTTTGCACATTAGCATGTGATTCTAACTCCATGAAATATTTTTCTGTAAACTATTAGGTTTTCACGACTCGTCACCGATATTGAACTGACTAAAATCTGCCATTAGATGATTTACGGCTGAGCTCCTCACTTCCTGTAAGTGGAATAAGTTTTCAGTAATAGGTTTTGACAATTTTACACAACAAATAAAGATAAAATCAGAAAACAAGAGCATGCCGTAACTGACAACTCCATGTTATTCTAATATTTGTTGCAATTATTATCTATGTGCAACAAATTCTTATGTTCTATAAATTTTCAGTAATATAAACACTTCAGCTTCTACGATATTCTAATAAGAAAATGTTGATAGATGAAACAGATAATGAGCGCAAGATGCTTCAGGACGTGAACACATCGGAAATAGTGAAGTGAAATGAGAAACCCTAGAAGTACAACAAAACAGATTTTGATTCGTTGGTTTTTGTTTCCTACAACTTCCATTCCATAATATGTCCCTTCACCATAACTGCTACTTCAACAAGGTTGTGCAAGCACAGTTCATCTCATCAGTTCTCAGACCCAAGCAACTTGTCCCTATCTTAAGTCTATATAAAACGTACTAGAACCATCTATTCTGCATAATACAACTTCTAATCAATATAATCCTGATCTCCACATAGCTAATACTTCATACAATGTATATGATGCAATTGAAATCATACCCCCAATTTAACCGTTATCAATTATGGGAGATGTCCACAGCAATGCCATCCGAAGGTATTTCAGTTATTATGAGCGATAAATGTATTCTTATCACTTTATCTTAATACGACTTATTAAACCATTCACCACATTACGGAGCGCATTCCAGACAATGTATTTCTGGATATACAGTGTTTACATACAATACAGTGTTTCATTTCAAATCATCCTGCGCCCACTTATGCAGTAAACCAGAATACTGTACACTTTAAACGTACTGCTCTGAAACATACTTAAAAGTACAAAAGTTAATATTTTCGCAGCCGATACCAGCTTTACGTGACCGACTCTTAGAAACCTGAAATAACGACTGTCCAAAAGTCTTCTACTAAGTACGGGTACAAATATTTTGTCCAACGTCGGCTGAAAAGCTCCAATGGATCGTCACAAAAAGTGACGAATTACACTGTTTCAACAGCAAAGGAGACCGTTTAAGCAAACTGATACATAACGCAAATTTAAGATTCATCATTATTTCACGTACTTATGTATTAAATAGTTACTCGTGTTTCATGTTTGATTTGTATTTTCAGCAATGTTTTATTAACAGATGAAGCTAAAGTAGGAAAAAGACAAGTAAGTTTTTATAAAAAATACTCAAATATTACTAATAAAACTGTTATTAAATATTTCCTATTATTGGCGATTTCTTTTTCGGTTCTTTTTTAAAGAAATATATCAATACTTGAAAAAAAAAAAAAAAAACAAATTTAAGAATAACCTCTGTAGTACTACATGAAATAACAAAATCACTTCTATCTTCATCCGATTTCGGCTGGATGTTTACTGCTGCGAATCCATCCTTAAGATAATCAGTTGTTATCTGCTCACACAATATTACATAGAACAAACCACAAATATTTTTAAAGAACTTCATTTCTTGGAAGTTCAGTAATTAAAAGACTAGGAGTCTTCCATCAGAAAGAAGATACAGTCAGAAACACGGCTCCTCTGAAGAAGAAAGTCCTATCTTCCATGGAAAAATCTTTCAAGAATGTGAAATGTGAAGGTAAAATATATAACATTCAGTGAAATAAGATAAAATTAATTAGGCACTAACCGAAATTTTTCTGGATGGTATGTCCACTTGTCCCGAACTAATCGTCTGAGAAGCCGATAAAACTTCACTTTCTGTTGCAGCGAACATCGCCGCTGATTCACGATTTAGGAAAAAATTTCCCACTGATAAAGTGTTTGTTTCTGGTCCAAATACAGCTAACTGTGCATCTGACATAGATCATTGTACTATCTGATTTGGATAAAAATTTGATTAATGTATTTTCAAACAACAAAAAGAATGCGTAAAAAAATGTAAAACGCAAATCCACAACAAAAGAAATTGATTATAAACCGTTTTTCAGACCTAGCCATAAACTTACAACCGCTTTGAGAACCACAAGATCGCTGAGAAAAAGGAACAATGGATGGATCGAAAAATGACCCGATACTGGACGCATCAGATAAATGTATGTTCCTTAGTTTGCCAGCCTTGTCATCAATGGATGAAACCTGAAGGGAAACATTAATAAAGACATAAAACTGACTCATTTTATTAGAATCCAGCTGTTCATCATGAATACATAAAACGATTTCCAGCTTTTTAACAAAGAAACAAAAGACTTTTTTTTTTTTTTTTGAAAGTCCATTTCAAAAGTCCACTTCAAGTGGAAAAACTTCGGACAAAGAGAAAAAAAAAAAAAAAAAAAACGAGATAACTGGCATACATAATTTAAAAAGGTCAGAGGTTTTTAGATGCTTTATTCATATTATTCCATTATTGCTTCAAAAAAATTTTTTTTCTAAAACTAAACGAAGAACCTCAGAAATTTGTTGCACTCGACACTGTTTTGTTGGCCGAGGATAAAATTTAGATGCAGTTCCATACAAAGCAAGGATATCTGAAGTACTCTTTTTCTCTGAAAAAAAAAGAAAAATTTCAGAATGTTTCTTTCACCACAAACAATAAGAACTGCTAGGATGTAATATTGTATTATTCCGGAACTTACCATTCACTACGGCACCACATCCTAACACAGATACTAAGTCTTCTAAATTGTTTTGCGAGCCAAAAGTTATAAAACCACTTTTGACATTAGAAGACGCTACAGCATTCGTGGCAAAAATATCAGACCGCAGTTTCGCAGGCGGGGCAGCAACAATTGGGCCGAAATCTTCCATTTCATTACTCTCGCTGATTCCCTTGATGTTATTATTCAGATTCACCATATTTTTATCCATCACAGTAAAAGGCTGCAAAAACCTGCTTTCAGAAGAGAAAATATTGCGTAAGAAATATTACGTAAGACTAATAAGTAAACAATACAGAGAAGTTGAAGTTTTCATCAAACAGAAACTACTACTGATTTACCAGCGTGGGTGGGAGTTCATTCTGACTAATATCTACCATGGGAGTACTGAGATCTAAGAGCGGTATATCTATAACTGCGCCATCCTTTTTTTTACCAATAGCATTCACCACGCTAGAACCCGCAGTCATGTTTCTTGTCTTTTCCATTGACTCCGCATAGTGATTTCTTTCCCTAACATTTGAGCACATATCTGAAATAATAACAACGGTTTGCACAGCTGACACTTCATTAAGTGATTTGAATGATTTTGTAAAAACACAAAAACTAAGCTTAAGAAGCATACCGCAATCAGAAATTTGCCTCTTATCCGAACGAAGTGGTAAATCATTTACATCAAGTAGAGGCGGCGACCAGTCCTTCAGGATATATCTATAATAATATGTTTTACAGAAAAAAAAAAAAAAAAAAAAACTTGTTACCCCAACAAAAATTGGAAAATTACTATCTTGGAACTATGGAAATTACTACCTCTTTTGCTCGTATTTTGCCCTGATGAATGATTCCAGAGCAGAATCTGTTTGTGGTCTACGAAAGTGCTCAGGAAGCTCTGCTTCATAAACACGGCGTGCCATTTTATTGCCCATGATCCGCATACTTTGGACCTGCTCTGGGGTCCATGAATCCAAATTGACCGACTTGACCTGCATTTTGTCACATCGCAAGGTAGTTAAAACTGAAGAGACCAAACAATCATATTCTCACAACTTTAAAAGAAAAAAATCAACTACAGAACTGAAGGTGTATTAATTCCTTTAAAGATCAAAGGATGATGATACCTTAGTGAGATGAACACCGAGATTACGATGGATCCCGGCACATCGTATGCACAGAAATACTCCTAGATTCCAGGATGCCCATCGAGGTTGTTTCGCTTCACAGTCGGCACAGTACTTGTTTTCCTCTTCTCGTAAAAGATCAACCACTATTGCTAAAAACACCTATTTTTACCAGAAATTCATGATATTTGGTATTTCTTAATTTTACAGAACACGGGTGACTTCCATAATATCATACTGTAAAAATATATAAGACGTTTGCACGAGAAATATGAAACAATACAATACCTTGCAAACGTTCAGCCTCTGTTCTTTTTGCATCAATTCGGCTTTTCAGTGGCATGCTGAGACAGTTTAAAGCATGCAAACGGCTGAAACTGATACTCTGATGCTGAAAACAAATTTCTAAACTAAAAAAATCCATATTTACACTATGCGATTCAGACTATCACTGGAACATCAGACATAGAAAAGATAATCTCAAATCACTGGTGCCAACAGGCAACAGCTATGTTTGTCAATAACTATGAGAAAAAATGAGATCAGCAGTACAGATTGAATTCCAATTTCCCCGGATACAGTTCCACACCTACGTACGTTCGCAAAAACTATATTGAACCACTCCAGCAACTGATATATGTTTAAGAGTGTATCAAATATTGTGTCACATACTGAGTTTGAGAGAGTGAGGCAGTATAAATAAATGAGTGTACGCAGACATGAGGTGACATGAGAAGATGCTGCATTTGAAGGAGACAGTGTGAGGTGTAAAGAGAACTTCTGTTCGATAGCTGTGAAGGTTGTCAGATATTCATGGGGAAGTTGGTGATAGGTCGGGATTAAGGATAAAGTTGGTCCAGGATTAGCTTTTTACATATTGGCATCTTCATTACCTCAGGAAATGAAGACAGCGTAAGGGACTAATTTATGTTTCTCTGGAATAGCTCTAGAGTTTGTGAACCGTTCTTTTGGACAGGACCGTTGAGCATTTGTTTAAATGGAACATATAAAATGAAATGTACGTATATGTGAAATGATTAATTTTGAACAAGAAGATGATAACGATAGCTCCACTGAATGGATTCAAAAGAGGAGGAAACGGAAGACATTATGCTGAAATCACACAGTCATTTCATCCTCACATCGAAGCTTCTATTACACATGCTATCACGGATACAGTGGTCGAATGGAGGCGACATTTGTTAGACGGTCGACATCAACCTCTTGACTCGAGTTCTGTTGCTGCACGAAATCTTGTAACGATCTTCGATTTTTTTCTTTCTTACGGGTATGTGTATATCTGTCGGCATTCTTTCTCAGCTCTACATTGCGTAATTCAAGTTCCGCAGAAAATGATAGCATTGTGAATTAATTGCTATGATTGAATTTTTTTTTTTTTTTGTAAATTGATTGCGAGAAAAAAACTCCTACAACTGGGATCTCTCTGTTATTTTGCTTAGGTTTAACAGAGGTAACCGTTTATACTGGGTATTTGTGAAAGAGTTCATGTCGCGCAACGAAATTGACTATCTGAAACGGGAATGGCGTGTCACTTCAACACGACAGCTGTCGGTTGCGTGGCTCAAGGATGTTCTCAATAAGCAAACATTATTATATCACTTTCAGGTTCCTAAGTATATGTTCTTTTTATTCAAAATTACATAGTGCAGATATATTCATCAGATTCACTGGAATCAATTGCCACTCATTCTTTGATATTAAAACTGTTTATGGATATTTTTTTACTTTGTGGATTGACGAATGGTTTTCTTCTGCTCTCTGCATTGCAATTCTCCATTGTATCTCACTTCAAATGCTTTTAAAGAACGCTATATTTTAGTCTTTTCAACAAGATATAGAAACTGTTCGAAAGTTCTACCACAAAGAAGCTGTGATGACGGATCAATTCCTGCTTTCTCGTGTTGTCCAAAAAATGATAGCTTTTACCGAAGTACAGTTCAAATTTTTGGTTTGTTTTCATTTCAGATATTTCTATCAAGAAGAGCACACAGTTTGATCATCTCACTACATTTATCAAATAAATGAAGGGAACTAGTAGTCTTGCTGGAAGAGTTTGCTCTTTGCTCATATTGTATGTCGCTGAAAAATCCTAATTAGTAATTCCAAATTGAAAATGTGGAAATTCTACCATAAACATTTAATTCTGTACGTCTGTTATGTATAAAATATGCTTTCAATCTTTTTAAAGCGAAATCTTTTTTTATTGTCGCTTTACAAAGCAAAACTTAGTATTTTGTAATCTTCCAGAAACCTTTTGAAAGACGTAACAATATTCCAATAGCAATAATGCGTCATGGTAATCAGCGACCGTCAACATCAAGTTGCAGTTCGGCTGTTTTATGCAGATATTCACGTGAATTAGAGAGCCGTTCGGCAATTCCCCAAGAATCTCGATTACAATTTTCAACACATTCTCAGGATGTCTCACCATTATTGCTTGATGTACCATTACCGGCTGATTTTGTGGAAACTCATACTACATCATTTGATGAAGATATCGCTGTGCCAGAAAACGACTCGGTAATGCATAATACCTTATTAATAACAATGTTATATTGAATTGCTAAAAGGCATTTGTGAATGTTTTTTGAATAAAAAAGCTATAATTTAAAGGTAAATGGGAATGTTCAGGATCAAATTTTCGGTGAATTGCTGAAGCGTAGAAAGCACTGTTGTCTTTCAAAAGAAGATGCATTAAAAAACACTGTGGATGAAGAAAAACATACCGTTAGTTATCAACAAAAAAAGTCAGATGTAATTTCTTCGTGAATATTTTCTGGGTTTCTGCAGGTGGTTGTCTGTGGCATATGTTGTTTTGTCCCTCTTTGGAAATTCTTCACCTTATAACAAAAAAAAAAAACCAAAAATTACCATCAATACAAAGTTTTCGACTAAAGAAAATGTATTCTGAATCATTTATACTTCCCAATTAAGTGCTATTTTGAGCGTCTATGAACTTCATTGAAATTTCGCGCCCATGTCCTTTCAAATCTTGAAAAAAGACTATGACTTTTATTCGAAAAATTACAAATCTTCAAGTTATATTAGCAATTAAATAGGATCTTCTTATTTTTCCAGAACTTTGCTTGCTGATTATATTTGCTTTGAATACAGTTTCTGCTATAGTTTTTCGGTAGTCATTAGTGTGAAATTAAAACTACTGGAAATCTAGTGCATTATAGTAGTTTAATCATTTATTTAAACCTACAGCTGGTTATGTTAATGTCAGAACTTAATGCCTTATAAGTGACCACTTTGCACTTGCAAATTTTACCAAATTCTTATGTTTTAGTGGTGCTTGATTTATAATATCACAGATTTGCTGCTGTGCTGTAATGTATGTTTAGGTCAGTAGTGCTGTTGTTTCAACGGATCCTTTCGATATAGCACTGAAAACAAGCTTGTCAAAAGCGAAATTGTCCGTAGAGGATATTCACTTTAATGAATGTGAATACAGGACATCGCCGATAACAACGTTAGTCGATCTTCCATGTGGCGAAATAAGGTGTTTTATTTTTCTCGAATACTGAAAAAACCATTAAAATAGATCAAATGGACCTTTTTCCAAGCCAAAAAATTCATTTCTGGATTCAAATTATAAAGTAGCGAATCGATATTTGTTCATTTACTGCTTATTTGTTTAACAGTTGAGAAATGGTCTTCAAGGTTGGATATGGGTGAAATGATTGGCCTTAGCATGAATGTTTTCAAGCACGACGCCGAAAGGTTTATGCGTTTGTTCCAGGTATCTACTGCTTTTATTTTATCTTCAAAAATTCCTAATCAGAAATAAAGAAAAATTGACTACTACAAGTAATTTTTTTTTGATTAGGTTGGCTCTGTCGAAAAATTACAGATCTCTAACATGCAAAGCATGTAATGAATTATTTTAATACATGTACTTTTTAAAGGTGTATTCGCATTTCGGTACAGGAGAAATCGAAAGGCGATTATTTGCTCTCTCTAATCAGGCAGCTTATTTGTTATCTGCAGAAAATTTTATAACTTCTAAAAAGTCATATGTTACACGTGCGTATCTACCACTCCGGTATATCAGTAGTGTTCATGTAAGTTATATTCTAGGCTATCAGTTGAAAAATAAAATGGTTGCTAATCAACATAGATTATTTGTATCAAAGTTTTCAGGTTGGTCCAGACTGGCAAGTGATGTATCTGCATGCTGAGAAAGATTACAATGTATGCGAAGCTGAAGATGATAAGTTCTTATCAGTCATGGAAATATGCGCGGCATGTAGACAGCTTGGTATCACCATTTTGGATGCTCTGAATTATGCATATGAGAATTATGTGTCAAATTTTCAACTCGATAAAATAAAATTAAAAGTTTGCCCTGATCCCACTCCACAGTATCTTATTCGTTTCATATCCAAGGAGTTGCATAAGGTAACGTTTTTAACTTGTGGAAAGAGTGCTATAATTTATGTCATTTTAAATTAATGTTTCCGTGTAGAAACTAACAGTGGGAGAGCGTTACTGTAAATCATGTCATGTGAATATGAATCGTTTACAGTTTACAGGATGCACCAGTTCTCTACGGATATTATCTTGCACAATGGAGACAAATGAAGCTATATAGCATGAATGGAGACGGTTATCAGCACAGTGGTTTTTTGTATCATAAAGAAGTTGGGGGTGGCGTTTCGTGGCTGCTTGGCTCAGGCGATTTCCAGCAGAGCTACTTTCATTTGCAAAATAAAAAAATTTATCAGTTTTCCGACTCTACATGCAAATTTGGTGAACGTGTTATATCTATCAGGTATTTTTAAAATAAGTTGGATTTGTATTAACTGTCAGAAATGAAAAAAATTGCTTTTCAAGAGTTTTTTTTCTAGAGATTCAGTTATTGATGTAGTTGAACTCAAAGGTGATGACCGTTCACCACATATGTTCGAAGTCGTTCTTAAAAACAGCAGAATCCAGTTCATATGTCAGAGCGCTACTGACATGCACAAATGGATATCACTAATAACTCTTGCAATCACTTCTACGGTATGTTGTTCCGTTAATAGTTCGAATGCAAATTGATTATACTCGTATACTTTGATTTGATTTGTTATCGTCTAAAACAAGATTTTCGTAGTATTAAAATGAGAAAAAAAATTGGGAGTTCAGCCCTAATTATACAGTAGAAATTGCCGAGACTCTTACTGTTTGCAGGACATGGATGATGAGCCAGCAGCCTGCGTAATATGCTTATGCGAAAGTATTTTAATAGCCCAAGAGGGGTTGAACTGTGCAGCTGATGGATTCATGAGATTGCTGGCTCGCATTGACATGGCACATATATCCCAAGCCACGGGAGTATTTGCTGCTGAACGCTCAGCTTGTGTAATCAAAAATGAAGATAAGTTGGAGTGGTTATTTATGAGATCGCCAGACGAAGTCGACCGCATGTTAGAACAACTAAATAAGCTTGGGGTAATCTCTTCCACGAATTCGTTTTGTTATTCATATTTGACTCTGAATATGACGTATTTAGGTAAGGCAAATTAATACAGAAGAAGGTGGTTCATCTCGATTGTCCGCAATTCTAAATTCGATGTCGCGCCTTAATGATGCTTTCCAGTTCGATGATGTTGTGTCGGACGATACGTTTGATACATCACTCGAACTCCGATAACATAATGTTGACGCTTTTAAGCTACGCAACTGTTAGTGATAGTGATGTGAACACTGTGGAGCAAGTTGATTTCTGTAGTTGATGTTTAACAACTTACTATGAAACCATATCATTATAAACTATGCAAATTGGCAAGGTTCATTGGTCAATTTTAACAGAACTAGTTCGTGATGCCTAGAGAAAAATCATGTCCAAAAAAGTGTCTTCAGAAGTCAAGAATGGAATGGCTGCCATTGGCGTGGAACATTAATTTCGAAGATTAGGTATAAGTTTTGCAGAATCAATTATTCGTCCTTGCTGTAATCTAGAGCGTTCATGTGGGATGCAGTATCTTGTATTTCCAAGCTCTATCCGTTAATGAATCCCATTCCAAAAAACAAGAACTACGAAATCTATATTCTGTTAGGCACGCAGTTTGGATTCCCACTTTTATTCAGAGCAGACTTCCAGATATAGCTACACGAAATTTTTTGCACGATGTGCTGAACACTCGCGGAGTGAGGTTGTTCTAAGAGCGAAGCGGATAAATGGAAACAATTTAAGAGTTTATGATTAAAGATATTGGAGAAAAGTATCCAGAAAATACTGGAGATAAAGTGATCACAAATTATGCCTTATTATCACAAGAGAAAATCACTGGACGCGAAGTGTAAAAATACTCAAAATTTTTATTTCCAGATGGGGTTTGCAGAGTAAAGAATTCTCCGGATGAAGAACTGGATAAAAAAGTAGTGACAGAGAAGGCGTTCACACCGCCATCCAAAATTATGCAGAATGTTATGCAGCAACTATTAATATTTTTGGGGCCAACTGGAATGCACTTATATATGCAATTTGTTTGTTATTAAAAATCATGATAAATAACTGAAATATCTTTAAGTATATACAAAATATTAGGAAAAAGCCAAAAATTAAGCAACGTGCAGTGAATAGGGAAGAAGGGATGAGAGGAAGGATAAAATTATAGATGCAAGCATCGTAATGAAATGCATTATAACATTCGTTTCAGAAAGCTGACCATACCACTGGGTCACATGAACAAATTAGCAGAATGGATTGGTAGATTGGGTTGGCACCGACGTAGGGACTGGCATCAGTGGTGGCTGCACAGCTGACTGGGCGAAATTTCCTGTTGACGGTATGCGGCTTTGACTCATCATTTCATTAAGCGATGGTGATGGGCGCTGTTGAGCGATAAATGGATTTACTGGTACCGTTGCGCCAGTACCAGAAAGAAATGGATTGCTGGCTGAAATAAGACCTCTGGAAGTGTTAGATGAACTTATCTTTAAGGTGTTTTATACGAATGAAGCTCTTTGTGACATCTATAATACGAAACTGAAGGAGAAGAAAAGAAAACCTGGTTTTGCGTTGCTATTTGTTGTCCCAAGTAGATTGTCTAAATTTACAAGGGATGAATTTTCACCGAGAAAACTCTCGGGTGTTTTTGTGTTGCTTCTTTGTTTAGAAGAATTCTCCTCAGAACTAGGAACCGCAGCTTGACTGGTTAGGGAAGGCAGAGTAGCCCATGGGTCAACAGAGTTTGTTGTTACTCCGGTTGTTGGAGGTGCTAACATCCACGGGTCATTAATAGTCGTTTGGATGTTTGAATATAGCGATGATCCTAAAAATACAGTTTCTTTGTCTACCTGAACAAAAACCTCGATATTTTTAAGTGTATATACTTTCACTTATGTGATCTCTATCCTTGCCTTTTCTTTCTTCAAGAGCTTACAAGTAGTGTTAAAAAGCTTCAATTTTGTTAAGAAAGAATATATTTTGTTGGGAACAGGAAATGACTCTCAATGTTAAAGCACCAACCAACGATTGCTGCAGGAGTAATATCAGAGGCCGGTGCCCATGGATCAGCAACTGGTCCACCCCATGGATTTGGAGTTGTCTGTTCAGCAGGTTGTCCCACTCCCAGTGACAACAAGTCATCGATCGCACTTTGCGAAAGAGTTGAACTTGGCACTGTGTTTTGACCAGCAGCATCCATGGAATTCATCCGTGCGATTTCACGACGACTTTCATTTAATGCCATCTGAATTCCTCTGAATTTAACATCGATGCCCATTTCCAGGCATATTTATTTTTGCTCATTATATAACCTGTTTTTCAGAATACCCATTTTTGGCATTACTGAAAATGTCTGATACGTATTACAACATATCATACCATAGAAAATTCTATCAGATGAATACTTAGGATCTCTTAAAAACATAATTTTTGGAATACCTGTAACCCAATGTCATCCTTTTTCCTCAGTTCCTCTTCTTTCTCATTTTCTTCCCGTGACAATACAAGCGCAATCTGTAACTGCATTTCTTCTTCACCAGCACTTGCCGGTCGTGCATCTTCCAGTTCTGATTCTAAAGAACATCATTTAAATCATGGAAACAACGTCTTCCTCACTTGTTGTACTAATACAGCAGTAGAACTCCAAATCTCACATCTTGCTTCTTCCAATTCTAATTCTAAAAAACACCAATTAAATCTCATATCTTGCTAAAACATGAGAATCTCATAAAAGCCTGAAGATAAAATATACCAAAGGCAGCACCAATATCGCTTTTACGCATATGTCGTATAGAACCATCTGAAGAGATACCGGAACCACACATGAACTTCTTCCTAGTCATCATGAACTTGGTTCGTTCATTTTTAAGTCGTTCTTCGTCATACAGCAGACTAACCATTTGTTTTGCTTTCTCTCGTACATTCATACCCTGGTCTCTATTGTCTTCAATATATTGGAAATCTTTTAGTGTCTCAATCGAGTAGATATTTTCTCGACACTGTTGAGCCACTTTCTCACTGCCACACTAAAATAGATATCAACGTGTTGCATGAATTCATGTACGTATTTGAAAATAAACAGCACTGCACAGCAAAAAAAAAGCATCCATAAAAATGTAAATCCAAAACAAGAATCAAATTTCTGACTGTAAATTCATATCTTCCCGACAAGTTTCTGAAGAGCCAAATATAACCAATCTAAGGAAATCTAACCTTTATTAAATAATCCAAAAGAACAAGACTTTTGTACACATGCCTCCAATTCTTACCATGATCATTTAATCTTTTCCAAAGCATTGACATAATCTCAGTAAATGACATTGGATTATGCGTTAAATCTGCGATTTCGGACATTAGCGCCGTAGAGGGTCCCCAAGGATCATTACTGCAACACATCATTCTCACAGAAACCAATTCTTTTATGAAACATACAATAGTAAAAAAGTGACAATAGTGATATAATAACAAACTACGAAATGCTTAATGCAAACAACTTTTTGAATTTCACTTTGGTTTTGAGTAAATTTACTAGCTTACTTACTTTGAGGGCATTTTCAAGTTTTTCTATCTCATTTTATGAAATATGGAAATTGGCTTGCATAATGTCGTTTGTCATTCACAGACCATGTTTTCTGTCTCATTTTTCCGAATAACTTCTCATTAAATCCTGTTTCGTATACCTGGGATCTATGAATACGCAGGAAGTATAGCTTAGTCTCGTAATACTAAAGAAAATGGAAGCTCCGATTTAATGAATACTGCTATTTCCAGACTGATTCTGAAACTATTAAACCCATAAATTCGTCACCTGGTAGCTTCTCGAACTTTAACTTGTGCGTCCGAGAAATTATAAGCGACATTTTTCACTTGGCGTCTGATAGTTGAAATTGACATCGGAACACCTAATAATAGAGATAAATCTGATGTATGTCGAGCAATTCGTAATCGTAATTAGGTACAATGTACAAATGAACTGATATGAGACGAATGAAACTGAACACAAAATAGTAAATTCATCCGTTCTGCATGTATACACTGGAGATATGTACAAAACCAAAGCGAGGTAATTCTATCAAAAAAAGAAAAGAAAAAAAAAAAAAAAAAAAAAAAACGCCCGAACTATATAAAATTAACACAACAGAAGCAGTCTCAGCATTTTCTTCTTTTTACTGGTTTCAGTTTCGTTTTACATGAACGGATATTTTATACTATATTTCACTATACAACACTCCAACTGATAGTGATAATCACCTACCTATCCACCACACCCACTAAAGAATCATTAGTGTAAGCGACATTACTGGAATACTAGCAAAGTTGCAAAAGAACGCTCAAATATATCCCGACCTTCGTGAGTTGATGACGCTCCAAGTAATGAAAGCTACTTACTGGAAGAATTAAATGAAATGAATTGGTAGTGTTCCACGACAGTAATTCCTAACCATTTAAATGTTAATTTAACTTTAAAACAAAAAATAAATTTGAATTTCATAAAGTGGTAACAATAAACAATAATCCTGCTAAACTGAATAGAAGATAAACAAATGTTTTGTGTCAAAAACAAAAAATCAGAAATATTCGCCTAAAGAGCATTACACCTAAGTGTCGGTACAAATATATCACCAATTCTTCCTCTTCTCTCTATACACAAGAAGTTGCCTAAGGAAGCCTGCAAAACAGAAAATCATTGGATAAAAGCAACGTTGAACAGTTGGCATTGTAGCGACACTCTTCCCAAACCACCATCTGATCTATCTGTTATCATCTATTCGTTGTTTATCCACCACTCAACATAGTCTGTCACAAAACTGTCAATCCTAACCTATTAACCTGCTAACCCTCACAACCTCACCAGTCCATACCAGTCCTCACCTCCACGTACCATTCAGCACAATACGAGAATTCACATCAAACATCCACGTCAGGCATCGGCCTGCCGCAAAATACTGCTAAAGTTCGTCGGGAGGAAGGATACGAACCAAGTTGAGATAGAGTTGCTCGGAAAGTAGAGTGATTTGAGGTGTTTGAGGGAAGGAGGGAGTTTCTTCCACCGTTTCTCCTTTTTATAGCTGAGGATGATCAGTTACTTCAACATGACATGTTCCCTCTCTTCTTGTCATTGATGTCATAAGTTATGGCTTCATTTCGGTGACAGCTGACAAGTGTGCACTAATAGCTAGACAGTGTGTAGTTTCGATTGGATTTCGATTGAAATTGACGCTCTAATCTATTCTGAATAAAATATGAGCGATATATTCTAGAGGGCAACACATTCACTAATTTTCTTCAGTAAAACCTAATAGTGTCAAAGAGCGAAGTTTTGCAACTTTCCTTTGCCTTCCACTATATACTCTTATCAAACGATTTCAACAGAATCGTACAAAACATTCTCGTATATATATATTCTCAAAAAGATTTCCTTTAAACGATAACATGAAATACTTTCATAATGGACTTTCGTCGAGTCACTCAGGTCATTACTGCATCGTAATAAATAAATATGGTTAATGAAACTCAGGATAACTGGTCTGCAAAATGTGGTAGAGATTAACAAGTTTGGAAGGACTTGACCAGGAAAAGGACAATGTGAAAATGTGCCAAATCAAAATGAAAAAAATAAGTGCAATTCCATTCGAACATTATATGCTACACTATGTTCGTTTGTCACTTGCAGAAATTTCTATTCAGACATCCAACGAATGAGTCGGAGCAAACAGCGATGAGTGTTTCTACTTGACGGTGTTATTAGGTTTATTTTCCATGCTCATAGCCACAGTTTGAAAGTTTCATGATATTGCTAGTTATGAGAAGTGGAATATTTATATAAAAAATTTATATGAAAAAAAAAAAAAGAATGTTTATATGAAAAAAAATATATGAATAAGAATTGCGGAAAGTTGAGTTGTAAAGGATCCGAGAAATTGGAAGGTGAATACTTGTTAGTCCTCTGAAATGGACTGAAGCAATATAATAGTTAAGAAAGGTTACTCTGGTTACTTGTTAAGATTGGATTAACAAATCTAACTACTTGGAACTAGAACTGAAGGGTTTAAATTCAAATGAAATCAGAGCAAGAAAACCAAATAAAGCTTAAACAGAGGAGAACGTGTATAAACACCTATTAGCCTAGAAGTCTACATCTTGTTTTTTGTGATTAACAAAATGCATGGTAAACGAATTTTTAAGGCATTTTTAAGGGAGCATATAAAAACGATTCCTACTTCTTTAATCGTCAAATACATCTGGTATTCCTTTTTTAACAGCTGAAAAAAATTTTTGAAATCCATTGACTAATATATCCTCAGCTATCTTTTTCGTGTAAAATTTTAAAAACTAAAGCTGTACGAATGTCAGATTTAAGCAATATGGAAATACCAATAATTTGTGATTAATTGCTCAACTAAACCGGAAATCTTTTTCCGTTCCTTATAAAATAATGAAACCTAACTTAGAATTAGGACGAACTTAAGCAACCTTTCATCTTATGTTTTTTAGTGCTACGTTAGTCGAGTCTTTTGCCACATTCAATCTGTTATATTTCTACTTAGAAAATAGTTTTATTTAATCAGACGTGTACTAATGTTTAATTGTGGACGGAGAAAGTTCATAGATATGAGATCTGAACAGGTACTGCATTTTAATTGTTTTTAATTATTTGCTTACATAGTGCAAACAATACAGTTGATCAGTTCATTAATTTAACATCTTTGAAAGTACTCTTGTGCCATATTTATTGTATGAAATCCAACTTTCTTTTTGTATTCATTGTTTCAGTGGAGTACTATAGGAAAATGCTAAAGCAGACAAAGAAGCTTATGCTGAATATTAAAGTTACACAAGAATGTTCTTCCATGTAACTCCTGAAAGCCTGCCAAAACAGTTGCACCGTTTTATAGAGCGGATAAATTCAGGTCAAATCATTTGCCGATGAGGTGCGTAGATTGTGTTATGCGCTCAGGTTCCGAACAAATAATTCTCAGCTGTACACCGGTTGGACAGTGCCTGATGTACAGGAATTGATGCGTAAGAAGGGCACTGAGAAAGATACTGAAGAAGAAAGGAGAACTCTCACCCCTTTTTCCATTCTATTCAAAACTACTTTTGTTTGTCTTTCATTGTATTCGTTTGACCAGTGACCTAAAAACGCTAAGAAAACCGGATTCTGGACATGGCTATAACGACCTGTCGACCTCTGCATCCTTTTTTTATTCAGAACCTTAAATTACTCCTAATATGGTACGTACTTACCTATAATTCAAGAATTCCTCCTAACCTCCGAGATGACTGTAGCGCTATCAATGCCTGCACTAATAATATTTATTGTCAGCATCCTAACAACCATTTTAGCACTGCCGTAAACGGTGCTATAGTATAAAGTAAAGAACCAGATTTGTCATATTTATTAGTGGAGGATTTCATTTCCACAGTTATTTCGTATGATAAATTAATATACCACTGAGTTCATAAATGTATTAACCTGTATGTCTCGCATTGGTAGTAGACATGGTACATGTATAAAAACTCCGATGGTGAGTGGGAAAGACAAGATAGAGAATAAATGGAAATCCGAAGAATCTGATCTACTGCATAGACAAAGGAGCAAAATGGTCAGTTGAAACGGTCACTGTGTTGCTGGTTTGTGCATTTTTATTTTTTGTCGACATATTTCCAGCTGACGTTTCACAACGATTCGTTAGTGCAGTTTCAGTTCAAATTAACTTTTATTTTCATTTGTTGTAGATCATGAAGGTCTTCAATTTTCCTATCTCGGTGAAAAGTTTTATCATAATGACCACTGCCTCGGAATTAGAGCCTACAGAATTACATATCATCACACCTTTTTTAAAATGAATGAAGGTCTTATGAGTAGAGATCTCAGTTCCTTAGAAGTATTCTAAGTAATGAAGCCGGTTCAAAAGAATTCGATTTTCATGATGTACAACTTTGGACCAAATAATCAACTGACTTTTTCTCCTCTACACTTCTAAATCAGTGTTAGAATCTGTTAAGTTTTCAAATTGTCATACAAGGTTCAATATGATTATTAACTTTACAGTTTCGTGCCAGTAATTTTAATGTTTCATCTCAAAAAATAACGTTTGATGTTTTATGCTATATTCGGAATATACTTAGAATGTATTTAGAGTAGGATCCATTTTATAGAACTTGTATTGAAATTCAGTACAGAACATGCTCGTTACTAAGATATTAGTTTAATGATCGGATTTTAATATGAGATTTCCTTTAATTGTGCATTCTTCATCTGCTTGATATTTTGCAAAAACTATTATATACGTGATGCATTACTCAATATTACTCAATACGCCAGTATTAGTGACTTTTACAAAAATATTAAGCAGCTGAAGTATGCAGAATTCAAGGAGATCCCATGTTGAAATCCAATCTAAAAAACATCTTTCCCCTAAATCATTCGCATTTCTAAAACTTTTGCTATCATCTTAGGAGGTGTTTATCCACGAATGTATCTCACTGCTTCCATAGCTCTTATATGGTTACTTACTCAAATTTAATTGGTAATAATTTCATTATTTGATGGTACCATTTCAAAATCCAATCCTTGCTTTCTCTCTACTCCTTGTACATAATAACCAATCGAAGTTTTATGACTATGAAATTGCCCATTTCAAAAACTGTAAAAGTTCCTACATATCCATTTTTATCAAATATGTTTTTACTTCCCTTTGCAATCATGATCCTCTGGTTTATTAAATTATTTTGCTAAAGATTAATATTTTAATTTTTTGGTATATCACATTTCAGATTTTACAACTATCAAATGAGTGTTAAATAGGGTTTTTTATCAATACTTTTTTTTCAAATACGAAGTCATCTTGAGGAATGTAATAATTTCAGTCTTATAGATTACTTTACTAATTCTATTTTTTATTGCTGTTCATTTGGAAAAATTTTCAGTGACCTCAAGGAATAGGAGAAAGATATGCCCACTTGTGATTTATGTTATATTATATGTACCTATGTTTTAGCGTGTCCTGCTTCATTTGCAAATATTTTCAGGACTAAAAATGCAAGCTTAGAACTTGTCCAGTGAGCTAAATGGGACTAATGTCAGCAGTTAATAGTATCAACAATCTAAAATGCAAAAGAGTCGACTAAAAATCGAAACGGCTTGCTGCAACCTGATTAAACTGATGAAAATATGCAGATCATCTAAAAACGTGTATTAGAAGCAGTAATCAGCTGATTAGAGTACTCCAAATTTGAGAATCACATCATTCTGGTTTTTTTATAGCAACCTGTTGTCACTCTTTCTTTTAAACATTTGCACACTAAATATACTGTTCCTATTTTGCCTCTGACATTTTCTGAATGATTTACTTGTCACTGGCTGAACTTCACAATCAGTTTGATCATATTTCTAAAACAATATTATAGGCTTCATTTGTTTTGCGGTGGTTTCCATCATTTTTTAAATTCTTTTGAAGCCATTACATCCGGATTTTCTACAGGTGATCCTGTTGATTATAGGATTTAGGAAATTAAAAGTAGAATATTTGTAAACCGTAAAATTCTTAAATAAACAACTTAAAGATAATGTTTGAAGCTTCAGGGAAAAATGAGCTCATTGAAAACATTGCTTAATTCAAAATCATTTGACTCTATGACAACTTCCAACCTTGAAATGACAAATAACAATGGTCGAAAGCGCGGCGCAGTCCTGGAGGAATGGTTGCTGCGGAAGTTTCCTGAATTATACAGCAAGTCGCATAATTTGGGGAGCACAAGTGTACTAACAAATGATGTCGAAAATCAACCTCTCAGTATGCTTTCTATCTTGAATGTGTGATCTTGGGTGCCCGATCCACTTCCTTTCAAAATACTGTCCAATTAATGTTGATCTGTGAACAAGCTCTGTCAAGAGCAATTACACTAATCCGGTGATCCACATAAATTTAAACTTGCTTTTAAGCCCTTTCTGTTTTGGTTGAATTTTGGTGAAGTATTTTTTAATATTTTTTTTTATTGTGAAAGCTCCAATATTTCAATTCTAATATTTTAACTGTAAAAATTTCGAAGCGTCTGGATCATGAGTATGAATGTTTTCTAGTGCTCCTTTCTCGGTGACCAAATTGTTTTGAAAAATATGTTGCTCGTATGTAGGTGTAATTTCATTTCACTATTGTTTGGTTACTTCGTCGGGGCGTTTTCTCTTTTCCTTTCACTTGATCATCTCAATAAAACAACCATTCGTTTCGTTATCCCTTCTACACTTTTATTTCCTTTGCTATTCTTTCCAAAGATTTCCTAAAATACAAACATTTTTTTAATGTTTTGTAGAAAAATGGATTGCAAAAAACTTGGAAATGAAACATCGGGAAAAATAATTAAGTCAAAAGTGTATTGTATAAACATCCAATAAATGTGCAATCAGAAGCTATTTTAATTACATAAGCATTCAGTTAGGGAATAGCCTACATCATCCATTCTTCAGTTATACAATATGCAAATTTTCCAATTTTGTTATTCAGATTTGGTAAAACGGAGCAGGCGAAATGTAGAAGTGAAAAATGAAACACCAATAGTCTATACCGGTTGTACAGGTCGTCTTTGTCCCGAAAGTTTGTTTTTTATGACTTGCCGTTAAGTTCCAAAAAGAGTTTGAAATATTCGAAATACCAGAAACAGCTTCAAAAATACATATTTCTTTATAGCATTACGAGCAAACAGATATAATCGCGTGTCTGTTCAACGTTCAGATTCAAAACAGGACATTATCTCAAGTGAATATTATGAACTACCGAAAGAAGATCTGTTTAATCTGAAAAATGAGCACTTGTCAAAACAAGTGGAAAACAGTAAGCTAAATCAGTGCGTTCAACTTGGCCTGTTTCCACTCTCGCTTTTATATCTTCTCATTTCTGACACAGAAGTTTATTACCATGACAACTTCGCTTTATCGGATCTCACCATTTCTACACACCATTTACGTACAGTTTGTTTATCGAAAAATCGCCAACTACCGATTTTCAGGATATCACAAGGAATTAAAATCACACATGGACGGTGTTGAAACTGATAAACCTGTCAATTTGTCTTTGTCTAAAAGACGGGAAACAATCTGTGAGCAAATTTTTATGTGTTATACGATTAAATTTTTTACGCTTTTTGATTTGGCAATAAAGCAAGCGTTTAAAAAATGCTTAGTTTATCGGTAAAAGAAGGAGGAGGTGAAATTAGGAATTTCATGCCCATCTCATTTCTCCCTGTATGCAATTCTGTTCATTATCATTATGTAACACAGTGTTTGTAACACAAACGATTGCAGCAAATACAAGAACGGTTTAACTTCATTGAAATTGGTATTTCAGATGTGGAATGGAATGAAGATGAAAGCAAAACATTGCCGGTGTCAAATTATGAAGGGAGAAGACATGTAGACAACAATGAAGATGTCAGGAACAGCAATTCTGTGATAATGGGTGCCAATTATAGAAGTATGTACAAACTGCAAAATAATGATAAGCGAATTAGTGGGAATATCTGTTCGTTCGCTGCAAATAAGCAAATTGCAAAACGTTTAACAACTAAATTAAAAAAGCATAACGATGCGGCTTACTATCCGAATATTCAATGCTTACTTTGCCGAGAATGGGTGTGTTCCAGAAACAGGTATTGTTTCTGTTGCTTCACATTCTCTTTTTAAATGCTGAGATTCTTTTTCTTTATTTATTAACTTTTTGATATACAAATGTTTATTCTGAATTCTTCTTTTTCTTCGAATACACGCATTTTCAATTATTGTATCTTCACTGTAATCTTAACTCATGTACGAGTTATGCACATAGCTAATTTTGAAAAGTGAAATCACTATCACCGAGGAAAATAAGGGATGAAAAAGTTTTGAAAAAAAAACGGAAAAGAATTGAAACGACATGCAAGGACTGTTTGAAGAAGGTCTTTAAATGTATTGTCTAAAAAATAAGAAATAAGTTATGCAATGTTATTAAAAAAAAAAAAAAAAATTCTACAGTGATACAATAAATTTTCATTAAAATTTTCGGAGAATATGGTTTAAAAAAAGGGTACAATCCTTTCCAGATCCTTTCGAGAAAACAATCAGAATTTTTCGTTAAGAGTAATTCAGAATCGAAAATCGTTAGATGAATTGATTTTAGGTATATGCACGTCGAATCGCATCTACAGTACCGCCCATATAAATGCAGTTTTTGTGGATACGATAATCGAAAAGAGATATTTATTATGCTGCATATCAAAAAAGTGCATGGTGGCAGAGCTGAAGTTATCCGGGATATAAATACTGAACTGGAACATGAGTAGGTTTTGTAATTGTAGTGAACTTAGATGAATTTGAAATTGATATAGTCAAATATTACAGTGTTATATATGAATAAGATCATCCGTTGTAGGGCATGGAAAATTGCAGAACGATGTGTTGAACATACTCGAGATGTGTTGAAGCGTGCATATCAGGAAGCTGTTCAAGATGATGAAGCATCCGCATCTTCGAAACCCAGCAGTTTTGTCAAAGTTGAAGAGGCATTGCTTAGCAAATATTCTACACAGGTTAAAATCATTTCATACTATTTTCATTTGGTTTAGTCAGGAAAAAAAATGATTAAAGCTTTTTTTCAAGAATTTGTCAGAATGAAAAGGCTTATTTAAAAGAGAAAATTCTTAAAAAGCTTAAAAAAAGCTTATTTTTCTGTTGATTGTTTTTTCTTTTATCTTCTAAAAAGAAAAAAAAATATCAAATTGCAGTATCGTCCAAAGTTGTACAACATACAACGAGCAGAAAAAAGTCTAATTATCGAAGATTCATTGAAAATGGGCATTGTACCTAACTTTAATGAAGTTTCAAATCATGAAATTAAATGTCAGGTTGGGCTTTGTTGTGATATTAACATGACAGAAAGTTGTTTCGGTGAGTGAGCAAATTCCACGTCTCCACGTCATCTGTTATCTACATTGACAATAGTTCACTGGTTCTCAATTAAATAAGTACGGTAATGCAGACTGCCTACTATAAAGTGATGCACATTTAGTGGAAGACTGACATTTAATTATTAATTCACAAGTGTTACAATCCAACGAATAATTCACACAAACTTACTCGTAAGCAGGAACTCTTTAATAAATCCTTTTGTCGTTTGATTTTTGATACTTCTTCCCACCTGACTTTCCCAGTATAATTTTGAATGTCTCAAGTCTTTGTTTCTTATAAGCAGAACAGTTTACTTGAACATTTAATATTTCTTTCCCTAAAGTGATATTTATTGATGTTTCACATCAATTTATCAGAACTATAAAACTGTTAGTTCTATTTTTTTGTTAATTTATCTCTGTTATACATCATTGGACTTCCAAGTTTATATGGGTCACTTGTGTTTTTGATTCCGAGGCATAAATACGATTTAAGGTTTGAAGTTCCGCTTTATTCTTTTTAATAATGCGAATATTCTCATGGATGGTTAATCTTCTCGTACTCTTCCTGTTCCTTTTTTTTGTTTTTACGGAATAATCAACACGTATTCAAATCTATTGGTGAAAGTCTTGTCCGACAGCATTTGTTCTAAATAACATAACGATTTAGATTTAAAAAATATTTCGTAAATCGAATAAGAAAGTTATTCTTCTGACTGAATGAAAAGCATCGTTACTTTTATTTTTGAAGTTCGGATTTTGATGTCATAGAAAAGTTGAATTCCTTTTCTACCTGACAGGTGCAGCACAATTACATTCTCGTATTAGTTGTATGTTTCATTAATTTAAAAAGTATGCGATTAAACAGTGGACGTACTACAGATATATCCAAAATAAAAAGTTTTTTTTGTTAACATCTTAACGTTCATATTATTGTTTAGATTCATGTATTGTTAATGACCCTGTTTGAAGTAAAATCCGAACTTCGAAATCTGAATTTCGTTGGTAGCAATTGTAGTGTGCAACAGTAATCAGTCAACACCAAACATATGATAAATGATTCTAATGTACTATGGATTGAATGAATTCGAAATTATCTTATTCATTTCTGATATCTTCTCATTACAGCAACATATCGCCTTTAAAATCTAATATAGTATATAAGTTGCAAAGGCTATATATATATATATATATATATATATATATATATATTGCATTGGAATCCTTTTTTAATTGGGAACAGTGATTTTTTTCATGTTATTGCGATGATTCTAGTTGTCGTTTTAATTATAGACAATATACTCGTAATAGGGTTTTCGTCTTTTTCTATTTGCAGATTTGTTAAAATACTTCTACAAATTTCATTATAAATGATTATGACTTCTAATCAGAACATTCTATAAGCGACAACAATGGTAGAACTAGAAAACAACGACTCAGTCTTTTTCAAAAACAGTGTTTACAGATTAACGTTTTGTTATCATAGAAAGACAGTTAACAGTCACCTTGGCTGTTAGTTTTTCCACTATATTCTTGCACAAGCTCAAATACTGCTGTAGGCTATCTACTGTTATCATCTGATCTAGGATTTTCTATTTTAAATAGAAATTTTTTTTTTTTTTAATTTCAAATTCCACCTTTTTTTTTTTTTAATTTCAAATTCTTCCTATTTTAAAAATTCCAAATTCCACCCTCGTTTTCTATTTCTGCAACTTCTTTAGCCTTGAGTATTTATGGTACACTCTTAAGTATGCAGGAAAAGAATTGAAGTTATCTAGTTTGTGACCGTCTTTCTTAGGTCCAATATCTAAGTATATTTAGATATTGAAAGATTGTTCTGTTATTCACTTTCTTCCAGTTCAATAATTCTTTACCTTCCGCTGCGATGTAGTTCTTGTTGTTCCGAGTAAGAATTATAGATAAAGCCAGTGAGGATCGATAGAATGAAATTGATAGTTCATACGACCGGAGATTTCGAAAGTATGATCGTTTATTTGGTCTTTTGCAAGACGGCCCTTTGTACCAAATTTTATTAGATGGTTTGTGATCATCTTTGTTAGACTCTGTATGTTCAGTATGTAAAAAAAATTCATTATTCGTTAAGAGATTCTCAAAGATCGCATGTTGTCTATGCTGTAAATAATTCTGAAGTTCTTCAGGAAAATTTCCCATAGTTTCGTTTTGAAGCAGGTTGTTGAGAAGTTAAAGTTACCAAACACATCCAGATTCAACGTTAGTCCTGCAAGCATCGTTGTTCGGACCAGGAATTTTCATAAACCAGCACTCACATTCTTCTGGTCTGAATGGGCATTGATCCCAATTCAACGTTGTTTAATTTGCAAATGCAAATCTTTGCCCTGCAAATTTGTTTTACAGATCTGTAATGGTTTTGTGATTTCACTTGTAACGGTTATGGAAGAACATACTCGATCACACCTAACGCAGCCATCTTACCGGTTAAATTGATTCATTCAAATCCATATTTCATAATGACTAATAGACTTCAAATTTAGTTTAAACTCAGCTCTGAAAAACTAAAAGCTAGATAGGAAAATAGCGATGCATGCTTAATTGAACCGAGAGTAAAAGCGTTATCGAAGAGGACGAAGCCATGCTTTTGTATCATATTCACTTGCAGTTGTTCTGTTGGACATTGCACACTGAAGCATCATTCAAAAAATTTCTTAACACGACACATGAAGGAAGTTCACAAGTATAAGCAGACTCCAACAGATATCATAGAATTGGATCCATCTCTGAAAAAAGAGTTTTGCAGAGTTCGTTTAATATCCATTTTATATTTATGAGCTATCGAAAACTCGACAAGGATGGATTAATGAGAGTTGAAAACTTATATCATAAATTCTTATAGCCTTTTACTCCATATTAACGAGAAATGCTGAAGCAAGTTATTACGTAATTCTGATCCTATTAATAATCCTACTTAATTGTGAAGGACCATTGGTATGAACGATTTGAGTTATGGAGGGTTTCTTATTTTTCTTTTCAAAACAAATAGTAAAATATATAAATGGAAAATCTGTTCTATCTTTAACGACAGACACGCCTGATAAAACTGACTCGTTCTATTTCCCATATGCATACACACTCAAAACTTCTAGAAAAAATCAGTATAACCATGAACAGCGCTACATTAAATACATATCAGTGAAAGACTCTAGCCATGACCACGTGTTCCTGAAATGTATCTTCCAATACTATATTGACTTATTGCAGATCGCATCTCGATGTTTTCCCAATCATTTTTCGGATCATTTTTCTTCATTTCATATTTTTCGGCGATCAGTATCACAGTCTCCATTATTGGAATCATTAACAGAAACAAACTGGTGTATTCCATCTACCTGTTCTGTTCCTTCAGTTATGCAAAATACTGCCTTATCGATGTCAACTTTAACGTCCACGTTTGAAACGTTCAGTTCTCCAAGTCCTAAACCAACATCATCACTACTTACAGCTATACTTCCCTTGAATTTGACGCTTCAAACTTCAGCACCATCCAGTGATGTTGCGCTGCTGCTTCCAACGGCTCCTATTCCTTCGAGAGATACACCTCATTTCAATGATCCAATGGGCATGTCTAACTTTCCAGTAACCAATCTTGAATGTCAACCATTTGTTTTCCATGAAGAAGAACATAGTTCGTCAAATTGCATAACATTAACCAATCTTCTAGCAGCTGCACCAAAAAATAGTCCTTCACAGGTTCTCTTCTTTATCAAACACTTAGGGCTTAAACTAAATTCCGGTCCGTTTTGTGCTGTAGAGCTGACGAAAATTACTTCACTAAATTGTTCACCGTTCCAGACACGTGTACAATCAATAATATATCCACCGACACCACGGAAAACCTGCAGCTTTTGCCAAGAAGTATTCGAGGGTGAATATTTAGTCCTGTACAAACATGTCAAGCAGCATTTAAGCTTACTACCTTATGAATGTTCGGTATGCAAATTCGCCCATGTGGACAGGGTAACTATCCAGGACCATATTTCTCACTATCACTTGCAAGCTACTCTTGTTGACAGGTAACTTTCTCCACAAGAATTCTAGATTGTCATATGGATAATTACACTTAACCGAGAGAAACGCAGTTTATATGGGAACAAACTGATTGATCAAATAATCTTGGTAATCTCTTAGGCCACATTTTTATATAAAAATATTACGAGCGTTTACGTGAAATGTCCCATAAGATTTAAATCACGAATATCACTAAAAACGCTAAAAAAAAGTCTTCACAATTATTTCAGAATGACAGACTCAGTATCTCGACAGTGTTCTGCACTGTTTACAGCCTGCTTTCCGGATGTCCCGCTGCAACCATTATTGCATGACACTGTACAAAAATGAAAGCTGAAAACTAATTGCTCTGATTCCGGAACAAAATTTATAGAAAAAATGAATTGTGTTGCATATCGTTATATGTTACAAATTACTGCGAAAATGTGTTAGATTTCTCAAATGTTTTGTTAATTATGATTTCGTTGCTTTTTTTCTGATTGACCACAAATTTCCGTTATTTTTAATAGTTGTGTTGTTATGAAAGTGATATTTTTTGCTAAACAATTACAGGAGTCAACAGTATGAGAATGAATGCAAATATGAAAACAAAAGTTTTCACAGGAGAAATTAATTTTCCTTTTAATATCTCATTTTATAATTTTAGTAATTCGCCTTTAAAAGAAGATGAACTTGATTTTGAAAAAGTTCATGGAAGAAAAGAAGGGAAAAGAGAAGAAAGATGTCAGAAATTAGTCAAAGAATAATTCGAAAATTACCAATCGGTCGATCGAATTTGTGTGGGAATGTTTCGTGGCGTTTATCGAAATTAATTATGACTTGCAAACAAACATCCCTCTCCGTATAATACCTTTCTGTGTTGCCTTTCTGTGTATGTTTAGTGGAAAAGATAGATGTGTTGTCTAAAGGCATTTTTTGAGAATACCAGACCAACATCCTTCTTTCTGTTTATTTAAGTTAACGGCCCGAACAACTTCCATTTTCACTGTCGTATTAAACGAAGTGAATGTTATCCAGATAACTAAATGAATTCACAATCGATTGATGCTTTGGCTGTAAAACTGTCCATCAGTGTGTTGCATCTTTTCTCTGCTCGTTTTTAATTGCCTAGCAATTTCTGTGTTCGAGGTTTAGCAAATTTTTAACATTTGCTACACTCAACATTCGTCGACAGCTACCTCATTGTCTGTTTACTTGTTTCTTGCTTAATTAACTTTCTCTCAATTCATTAGCTGACTCATTATAAAAAATAATCGCTTTAATGTTCAATGGTCTCTCCGAAATGAAATCCAGAAAATCTCTTCATTTTCAATCAATATTCGGTTAGTGTGATTGGTCGTTGAACATTGATTAATCTCCAGTCATTTTTTTTTTAATTTAATGCGCAATATATGTGATGTGACGTGGGGCATATATTTGTTTAACAATTTTATTATAACATTCATTCAGCCGAAATTCTTAGAATTCTGCAGGTCTGTTTGAAAATTCGTCATAAATAAAATTGTTATTGTAAAACCACCAAATTCATTTCTGCAAATGATGTACTAATATGATAATAATCTACAAACAACATGCTGATAACCAATGGTCAGCAAACTTTTACTAAAGTAATCAATGTTTCCTTCCCTTCCTACTTTGGCCTTTTAATTAATTTTCTGTAAATTCATTATCACGTTAATTTGGCTTCCTGACGTATTCCCAAATGTTATATCTAAATACAAATCAATGTTTTAATGAAAACATGAAAATAGTGAGAATGAATGGATGGATGATATTCTTGGAAATCTGCTGGGCAGTTTCAGTAATATGGCCTCTGCCTGCTTATGGACTGTGTGGTCAAGATGCAGGTCGCTTAATTGAGGATCTTCTTGCCGACTATAATAAACTTGTTAGGCCGGTGGAAAATGACAGTGATACACTGATTGTTCGCCTGAAACTGAAACTTTCGCAACTCCTTGACGTTGTGTGTGATTTGACAATTTGTTTTCCTTTAATGTTTGTAGGATAAGCTTAAACTTATTTTGGTTAATAACATTAATCAACCAGAGCACATTCCTTATTGTAAGAACTGAATGCAGCAAAGTAAATTTTGGATTCTGAATTTGAAATGAGCTATTTATTTAACAATAACTTCTTTGTTTTTTTTTTCTATAATTCTTTTCACTCGAACTATTTTAGCATGAGAAGAATCAAATAATGACGACAAATGTATGGCTGCAACACGTAACTTTTTTTCATACTTTTCAGTTTTTAAAAAATAATTTACCCACCTCTGATAATGTTTTATTACCTATTTTAAGATGATGATTTTTAATCAGATATTTATTTTAATTAGAAATTTATGATTTTTAATTAGATATTATTTTTTTCGAGCTGGACTGATTACAAATTAAAGTGGAATCCCGCAGATTATGGCGGAGTCACTGTATTATATGTGCCTTCCGACATGATTTGGCTACCTGATATTGTTCTTTACAACAAGTGTGATTTCAAACTCTTTTTTTCTAACATGATATTAACCTTCCTAAGTGAGAAGACATAGAATGGATAAATAAATATGTGCTTGCTTTTATTGCTTTCGTTTATATCTCTGAGCTAATTTCCTATAACTAATAAGAGAAATGTAAAAAAAAAAAGGAAAAAAGAAACGAAAGTATAAATTTCATCAAGCAGTGCCATCTTTCCAAGGAAACCACTTGTCAGGCGCATATGCATGAAAAATTACTTTTAGCGCAGATGGTAATTACCAAGTGTCAATAATGACAAAGGCAAAATTGTCACCCAATGGTACTGTCGAATGGTCACCTCCTGCCATTTACAAAAGGTCCTTTATATTTCAGAACCCATTAGATGAAATTCTACTTAGTAATTAAATATTGCAATTTATTGCATACATATAAAATATTCTTTCTTCAAGATTTTCAGAAAGTCTTCTGATAAAAATAAGGAAGCAATTACTGGCTACCTGAAAGAGATAATTTAAATGTTAGATTTCGATGATCATTTTAATATAGTTAGGTTTTTGTTCCAGCATGTGTCAAATAGATGTGGAATGGTTTCCTTTCGACATACAAACATGTGAAATGAAATTTGGTAAGAAAAAATCTTGTTATTTAGTCACTTTGAATTTGTAGATAACTGCAAATTTTATTCGTGAAAGTTTCCTTGCCATTTTAAAAAACATTAATACAATGTAATGGTTTGAGAAAATCAATTCAGTAAGTCGACGGTAGATCCTGTGGTTTAAATGAAATTCCATAGAATATCTCAATTTGGAAAATAAATATCGAAATCCATGGATTTATAGCACTTTCGGTTCTCAGGGATATGAACCACCTATTCATTGCGAAAGCAGATCCAGTTCATAACAAAAAAACCACTTATCTTTTTTCAATTGGCTTAAAGGTTCTTGGACTTATGGTGGCTTAGAAGTTGATTTGCAACATAAAGATTCACATATTGAAAGAGCGGAAACAGAAACATTGCTTGGCTTTGATGGTCATTATGACGAAACTGTTTGGATTGTTGATGAAGGTTGTGCATTTTGCTTACGAATAGAAGTATGGAATTATTGAAATAGAAAAATCAATTAAATAATATTGTCAAAAAGTAAACTACTATGAAAGGATTTAAAGAAAAGCTGCTGAATATTGTTATATTTGCTTCTTCTACTACTGAAATTAAAACTAAATTTTAGGAATTGACTTAAGTGATTATTATCCAAGTGTTGAATGGGATATACTTGGCGTGCCGGGCAAACGCCATTTAAAAAGGTAACGGTGAGGTTATACTACTTACAGTCGATTTAATTGCATATTTGCGTACTTTTGATGGAAAGAAATCAAGTCATTCTCATAGATCATGTAAATTTATACAAAATTTGTAGTTATCTGTTGTACCCTAAACAGTTATCATTTACAGATATCCATGCTGTGAATCACCTTTCATTGATCTGACATATGAGATACGCTTGCGACGCAAGACGCTGTTTTACATCGTCTACTTGATCTTCCCAATCGTTAGCATTAAGTAAAGCTTTATTTTAAACACGGCAAAGGTTCATTAGCGAAAAGCTCATGATGTAGTCGAAATGTTAAATTTCTTATTTGTATTTATCAGTTGCTAATTGTAGTTTTTCAGTTTTTTAACAGTGCTAGTGTTCTACTTGCCTTCAGATGGCGGTGAAAAAATATCACTTTGCCTCAATATACTCATTTCACTCACTATATTTTTCTTATTGCTTGGTAAGCTTCTCTTGAATATAAATCTAAAGCTGAATTTAATGAAATGAATTTGCTCCTTTTAAATTAACAGAAATATTCGTTGCAGTGGAAATAATACCATCAACTTCACTTGTTATACCTCTTATTGGTAAATATCTATTATTTACAATGGTGTTGGTTACTTTATCTGTTATTGTAACAGTTATAACACTGGTATGTTTAATTTTACAACAAATTCAGCAATTTGAAACAGAATAGAACTTAACAGCTTCATTAACTGTTGCTTGATGAAAAGTGATATGAATTTTACCACAGTTCTTTTCATATCTCTGCATGCTATAATGTTTGCTAATAGTGCTTAATACATTTCGAAAAACATTTATATTTGAAAAATTAGAATTCTGTTTCTAAATTCCTATTCTGACATATGAGACCAATGGAAAGATTTATAATACGATATTTCTAGAATATCACGTTATTGTCAAAGTTCCCTGTATAAAATCCATTTAATTTGGATATTTATTTTATAGAATGTGCACTTCCGATCTCCCTCTACTCATACAATGCCAGAGTGGACTAAACGAATTTTTATCGAATTTTTACCCAAATATCTTTTAATGAGACGACCATCATCAATAAAAATCATCAGAAACAGCTATACTAACACGGTTTGCTTACTCTTCATTTCTTGATATTATAATATAAATATAATATGCAGTGGCGCGATGTAGCATATCACTGTGTTGAGATACTTGAATTTTCTCAGCACAAGAAGTGGAAAGCAATGACTGGTAACAGTAGAAATTGAATGCTGTAATTTATTTTGTTAATATTTAAAGTAAATAGATGGTAATAGTAAATTTCACTACAGTCGAACTATAGATTTAGCAAACAAGTGATTTCAGTTCACTATTCCCAAACGCCACGACAGAAAACTGTTGAACTTCAGTCGACCACGTGACCACACAGTTTCCGCTTTATTTGATCAGGTGCTGTTAAGCGCATTAAGTCGAAAAGAAAAATTCTTGTATTATTATTATTTTATTGTTTATTATTATTATCATTATTAATTATTATTATATTACTGACTTTTTTTGATTCGCTAACTATCCTTTTTTCTGGAAACAATAACAAATATTATCACCGAAATTCTGTGAATATAAAAATTTGTTGAGAACTGAAAAATTGTTTAGATGGATTTCTTATCTCCGGCTTATCGATCATCATTTTGTACAATGAGAAGTCATGACGGTAGCAGTTTCGCAAGCTTCCAAAAAGAAGTTACACCAGTGATGAGCGCCGTTGATAGTGTCACATTTATTGCCAGTCATATGAAGGATGATAAAAATGGCCAACAGGTTTATTCATATTTATTTTTGTCGTAACATTTACGATTAGCGCTTTCTTTTGATCTAGTATTAATTGTTAGAAAGAATCAAGAATAACCGAAAGAGTTCTTTTATAAATTAAATCTAGTATTTTTACTGTTCCTGAAGTCTACGCTTAATCTAACTTATGAGAACAATCCTTTTTAACCATTCCAATCATTGTGAAGAAATTTGCACCAACTGAGAAGTGAGAAACGGAAATTTAGATAATCGAGGACTGGAAATATATATCCGTCGTGATGGATCGATTGTTCCTCATACTATTTACAACAGCTTGTATGATCGGCAGCATTCTCATCATACTACGGGCCCCAACCCTTTATGACACAACTATTGCATTGGCATAATGAAATAGTTGTCACAGTACTTTTTATATTTGAAGAATTTAAGCAAAATGCTTGTTTTACAACTTACATTTATCGCATGCAATTTTCCAGTGCCTTTTCCTCTTAGGAAAATGCATTGTAAATTTACTAATATATATAATTATATTATTATCACATTTTCGAATCATGAATTTGAAATTGATTAATTAATCTGGCAATATTAGTTAAAATAATAAGATTATTGCTAAGTATACTTAAGGATGCCCTCCGAAATGTTCTGCTGAGTTCTCCGATAATTCTCGGTTAGGTAATTAGTTTATGAACTTAAAATAATTAGATGGCAAGAAAACTTTCATTAAATGGCAAGAACTTAAAGTAATTAGATTCATTAAATGGCAAGAACTTAAAGTAATTAGATGGCAAGAAAACTTTCACGAATAAAATTTGCCTTATAGCAATTGCTACTGTAATCTGCCGCCAAATTAATTAGATGCATGTTTTGGTAACAACTGCTGAGATTCTTTACATTTTCTTAACAGGACTTTTCCATTTCTAGTTCTATTCTGTTTATATCTCGATAAAATGACTTACTAGCAATAAATTACGACATATATCATTTATTTTTTCTCCAACATACATAGTAATTTGCAGATTCATTAAGTGATTTGCATATATATCACATTTTTGATGACTTCTGAATTTTATTCATAAATATATGAGACGAGGTTTAAGTTGAACAGAAAGGAAGGTGTTATAACTTTTCTTTTTGTCAATATGGTCTATAACCAATTTCAAGATAACTTTCATACAGAAAAACTAAAAGCTAGAATCCATGGAAATGAAGATCAGTACAACGAAGATTTCACAGAATAAGTGTTAGTGATTTTTTTCAGAACTATATGACTAGACAAATTAGTAATGAAACGTGTATGTCAGTAATCAGTAAAATTATTCAACTGAGTGATGCATACAACTGAAGGAAGAAGATAGCAACAAAAAAGAAATCTTCATTTCTAAATTAATCATCATGAGGATCTAGGAACCAAGTACCATGTTTTAACGCTTCAGACCACATTTCATTTTGCAGTCTTCTCATTAATAAGAGTTTTGGTGGTTCCGATTCCTTGAATGGTTCCCATCTTAAACGAATCATAAGTCGCCGCTATTACTTTATTTTTTTGAATGTCAGCTGGTCATTTATTTCATAGAAGGATTTCTGTTTAAGGTATATTGCTTCAAAGAGTAAAAGAATTAGCTGCCTGTTTAAAACATTGTTGATATATTAAATTTTAATATATAAACGTATGTTTGTGATTTTACATATTTGTAATTATTTATAATTCAATTAACACACGATTAATATATTTGTAACTAATTAATATATTAATATGCGTATACATTTATAACAACAACTAATATATTTATAATTCTCTTATCTCATGTAGTCGCAACTACTACGAAAACTTCAATTCATTAAAAATGACTGTAGAAAATGATAACATACGCGAATGCATATTTATGGCTGAATCGATCTTCAATTGTGCACCACAGGAATTCTCGATTTCCACCTTTCCAACCTGCAATGAATAAATAATCAAGCGCTAACACAGCCAATGCCAGCATTTTCTAGAATTTTAGCTGCGAAATCTCTATGAAGTCAGTTTTTGATACATCATGGTATTGTTTAAAATCTTCCTTTTATTTTCACTTATGTCCATTTAAGGGCGAAGTTGAAGCCATATAGTCCAAAAAAAAAAAAGGCTATTTTACGAAGTGTCGACTAAGAGGAATGATTAGACTACCATTACTCTGAATTCTTTTCATTAAGTGCTGAACGTAAGTGCAGTTGCAACAAGAAAACTTCGATGGATAACCCTGAGTTCTGGTAGATGCTGATGAATATCAGAATGAAAAAACATTCATTTTCTACTAAAAAGATAATTATTGATTACAAATGATAACTGTACTTCTGTCAGTTATAACTTCCACTTTTTTAAGGCCATAGATCACATAAAACGTAAGTAGACATAGAAAACCACTCATTTGAATATGCAGAGGAAATGTTTCATTGCCATGCCAGGTGTAGTGATGTCCATAATATCTGCAGCTGATTTCATTTTCTGCGAATGCTTTAAGATTTTTTCACTAACTCACGAAACTTTGATTACAGTAAGTCATCCTATTAAAGCTAACATTTCTCATTTATCCTTAAAAAATAAATTGGATATGAACCTCCACAAACCATCAACACCCCTAGACTTGCAGAAATCGGTCTTTTGGAGAAAATCGTCCCAGTTAGCTCTCCACTTTCTTTGAATTTTTGTTGAAGAGGTTAATTGTCGCTTGGTTCTTATTTTTTCCAAAAAATAAGGCTTTAGAGTCAAGCAAGCCAACCGCATCATAAAATTTGTCACTATGATAATGAAAGTCACTATATGTTTTATGCATTTTTATCTGGCTCGGAGAATTTCCTTAAGTTTTCTCTGCATACTTATCATTAAGAATAAACATATATTCTTAACAGAATTAAAAATTTTTTATTGCTAATTTGTAATGCAAATTATTAGTTAAGTAGTGAATTGAAGTTATCAATATTTTTTATGCAGAAATTCCCACATCTGAATAGATAGTACTACTGCTGAATTTCATACTGTTCGTCCAACAAAATGCTAGTAAAATGCCATAGTGGCTTTTCCTTGTCAGAATTTTATGAAAGTGCTAAATGCTTTTGAATAAAGGAATATGATTCAAAAAATTGGTATGAAAACTTCAGCTAAAACATTTTCGATTATAGCAACAATACTAGTTATAATTTGAAACAGCTTCGGGTGCATTTTCGGTGATCAGTTCTTTAAAATTCTTGAATTTGACCAGCCAGTGCAACATATATGAATTTCAACTGGAAAAGGATGAAAACATCCTCATATTTAAGAAACTATCTTTAAAACGTTTCTGAGAAATAAAACTTTTTTAAATAGCATAACTTATAGCAACAAAAAGAAAATGAATACTAAGTATGACATATAATGACATAGATATTAAAAGGTATAATAACATGGATATTAAAAATAAAATCATATAAGTTGGTAATTAAGCTCAAACAAAATATTTACTGAAAATAGAAAAAGATCCTTAATCTACATGCTCTCAAAACATATAACAATCGTAAGTATGATCTCGAAATTCTTAGCCCAATGCAGAAAGGACTAGAGATCAGAAAAGTTGCCATAAATTTATACAAAACATCATATAAGTTTTGCATTTTTATTTTGCTTTAATTTAAGTATCAATTGATTAATATGGTATTAAAAAAAGAATTAATGTATGCGATACTTTAGCCCTCCTTCAGATTTGGTTATTGATTACTTTTTCATACCTAATGCTAATTAAAATCGCTATTTCGTTTATGTTAATTCTTTGTCTAGTACTCATGGATTATTATTAGCAAAAAAGTCAAGATATTGTTTCTAGTTTCAGTGCGCTATCTTTATAAAGTTCGACAAAACTTTTGCTTTTAAATGATACATTTTAGCGCATACTTTCCTTAAACGCTTAGTGATGAAAATGTTATAAATTTCACAACAGTGTTCCTATACCTATTTATGAAAGTGCCTTTAGAATCTTCAAATGTAAACTTCATAAAGCAAAATAGAATACTTTTTGTAAGTTCAAGCAAATATTTAAATATCAACATTGGGACAACTAAGAAAGCGGAGAAGTTTGAGACCTTATCAGAATGCTGAGAAGTTAGACTTCGCAATGAGGTTTACATCTGATTCATTGTTCTACATAATGAATGCTTGCAGCTGCCATAAAAAAATACAGCTGATGTTGAGATCATAATTAAATTCATCGCTGCAATTGTACCGAGGCCAAATGATGACATACAGAACACATCCTGGAAATTCTAAACTAAGAAACACATTTCCACTGAATGTTTTAGAACCCATTTATATGGAACTTCAAAAATCTAAGTGTAAATTTTATAAAGTAAAACAGAATTGTTTTTATTAATCGAGGCAAATATTTATGCATCAACTGAAGATATAAAAGAGACCTGGTAAATACCGAAATTGTCATCAAACCAGCTAACTTTTTCAATTTGGTCATATCGAAGACTAAACTTCATTTCTAATCCAAATTCTTCTGCAAAACTGTGGTTCGTTACTTGTTGACAGAAGACAAACTATACAAAAATTATACAGATAAAATCTCAAGAACAAAAATTTCTCCGTTGACAAAAGAAATCCACCGATGATTAACATATTTTTCATTCTATTTTGCAAAGACAAAAAAATAAATTGCTTCATGACAAGCTAACTGTTTTAAAAAGTTGATTAATAAAGTTTATATTAGTCAATGAACTGAAACCCATCATCTAATGAATGAATTTTATACTAGAAATTTAACTACATAAGTAATAGTAAAATAATGACAAAATTTCTTAAAACACGAAAATTTTTTAGATAGATTAAAGCAAGGAAGTCAGAAAATTAAACATTAACAACACTTTTATTAAATGATGTTGTTCCACTGATTTCCATCAATTTTTGTTCGTTTATTGGGGAAGTGTTTTTAAATGAGGATAAAGTCCAGCTTTCCTGTATTAGCGGCTTTGGCTGCAATAAAATCTGACGCCTTCGTCTTGGTGGTTCTGCACAAGTTGGAATCTAGAAATCAGATATCTCCCAATGTTCTTATTACCAATCAAAATAAACATATTATATTCTTTATTTCTTAAATTTCTTAAGACAGAAAGGTAGTTTGACATTTTAGTTTAGACTGAGTTAAGTAAGAAAAATTATTAAATTCTACATCGATTTATGCAAAAAATAAAGTAACTGGAAATGTAGAATATTCTCATAGAACATTATAAATATAGAGCATTTCTCTATTAGTGAATCTGTTATGAAAAATTGTTGAAAGCAATATGAACTTCTTTTTCTCAGTTCTCACGATTAATAAATATATTCAAGACGTCTTCGCGCAATATTACTCAAAGAAAAGCAAACATTTGTTTACTGAACGAAATCCGAAAATTCACTTCAAAAAAAGAAAAAAGAACTATAGATACGGAGCAGTATTCCTGAGTCGGTTCTTTTACTGACACTGATATTTGGCAATCGAAGAATAAACTTTGTCGATCGGCATACTTATAAACATGCGCTTCTTTACCCGCCATTAAATCTGACACATATTCCAGATTTTGCAGTAAATATTTGTCTTTCGCACATCTGCATTAGAAAAACATGCTATGATGTTCAGACCAATCAGCATTTTAGATATTAATTTTTTTGAAATCTAATATCTAATCATTGCAGTCTTTCTTCGTCTCGTACTTTGTTATTTATGCTTTCATGAGAAAAGGAGAGAGGATTTATCACTTTGAAAAATCGAAGTTACCCTTGTTCATCAATCAGCTGAACCCGATCACCGTTACCGTCATCCACAAAGCAACTGTGCACCACCATACAGAATTGGTTCTCGGTATCCGTCTCACATGTCCATTTGTGATAAACCTAAATTAAAGTCACTTCTGTTCACCATGCTAGCAAAGTTAATGAAGATAATAAGTCACAGACAGAGTTTTCTGATTCTTTACGAATGGCATAAACAATGATAACAAACTGAAAGTGATTTATAATAGCAATAAAAATATTACCCTACTTCATTTATTATAGTCTGGATAATTAGACAATAAAATAATATCACAAAAATTGCCTCTTGAAGCTCACCATCTGTCCAATGACAGCATAAAATACTGGAGGTCCAGTAGGCGATCCATCTAGAATCTCATATTTACACACTGGCATCGGCACTTGCTCAGTTTGGAGCGGAGGAGGATTCATCCTGGAATTCGAAAACTGTTTGAAAAATATTAAATCAATTAGTTGTTATAATGATAAAATAACAACAGGTAAATTCGAGCTCGAAGTTATGACAAATACAACTTATACGCACCATTTTATTAAATGATTAAATGAAGTCTAATTCGCATGTCACAAGGGATTGATTAAAAATAAAATCTCAGTCTTTGTTGTGCTTTTTGAAATGATTTAAAAAATGAAATTTTTGGATAAAATCTGAAAAGATGGTGTCAGTTTTGATTACAATATCTGATTAACTTACTTTACTTGTATTTGTTTCTCGAAGATTTTTTCTATTTCCATATATAAACACTGCACCACATAAACACGGTCAATTTTGGTGAGAAAATCTGGTTGGAATGCCAGAAAAAGTGACGTTGTTATATACAAACCACGTGGGTTAGTCTGAAAAAAATTTCCAATAAAGAAAAAAATTACTCAACAATTAAATGATCACAACAATTAAATGATCAACTTCATTGTAATAAAAGGGATTGTTTTGTTTAATATAATGCATAGACTATCCGTCTGAATTGTTTGGTAAGTGTCAAATCCTACCGATCGCTTTCTCTCAATATCACAACTTTTGAATCCGATTTTAATGGATGCATTTCGTCCTTTATCGTCCACTTTTTCAGAGCCAATTGAACGACATGACGGATCCTCTAAATGGTCTTCCACAAATATTACCCCTTTGAAAGTATTCCGTGTTTCAAATTGCACCTTAATTATTGCAGTCATGAAAGCAAAATAAAGAGTTTCTTTTCTGGCAGGAATAGAAATGACTTTTTTATATTAAATTCGATTCAGATTTTAGCGCAGAATATATTACTGGAACATTTTGAAAGCTATGATTCGAAATCATTATCCCAACGAAGAACTCATCCACAAGTTTTCAAGTGAAAGTTCTTTTCATATATGACCGTTATATTCACTTCCATTTCCCTTTTTTTTTCAATAAACAAATGTTTTTGAAGCAAAACACCACGATTTAATTGAAAACGAAAGATTTCTGAAAATATAAGAAGGGGATATAACAATACTTATTTTATTAATTTGAAAGAAGCTAACGACTCGTTTTTAATATTCCTCAAATTAACAAATTCTTACACTGAAAATTCAATTAAATTTAATAACTTATAATGAACCTACTTCAATATAATTGTCGCCACAGTAAACATATGGATCACCGAGAATTCCGTTGTCCGAAATACTGCTTTTGATGATGTTCTGCAAAATTCATTTTTTCACATATATTAAATTCTATAGACTGAAAAGATATTTAGCTCAGAAATCAACATCAAGCATTTGCACTTTCACAGCTACTAGTAGTATAAATCATTGCAATGGCAACGATTTATTTTTAAAGGACTAAGAAAAACTAATACATTAATCTTCGTCCAATTTTTGACCAATACCATTGCTGAACAAAACATGTTCAATTTATTTTGAAAAGTATTAAATGATTACTTTAGTTAATTTTGCTTAACATGTGGAAGGAAAAAAAAATCAATGTCCAGAAAAGAATGACTGAGACGATTACTTATAAAGGTAATAAATCCACATAAATTTTTAGAAAAACAGTTGAATTTTAAAATGTTCCCAAGAGTAAATTTTGTTGTCAAGATGTCGCGAAATTACATTGATAGAGATCTCAAATATCGTGAAATCAAAAAATTATATTTCCATCGTCTCTCTTTTGGATGATGCAAGTCAATTATAATGCAAAGAAGTTTTGATAGATTTAAGCTATCCATCAAGAAAAATCACTGCACAGTGATTTCTCACTGATTTTCTTCACTATTTTTTTTCTGAATAATTAAAATCATTTATTGTAATAATGTCTCTAATTGCTGTGATACGTGCTAATTTGTTTGCAGATGCACCAATTCAATTCTCTCATATTTCTCTCATTCATATATCTTCATTGTCATTGTATGGGGACAATTAGGTCAACACAGTGGACAAAGAAACACTGAATGAGAGTGTTACAGTGAATCCGTTCTCCAAATTTTTTAATTCAGAAGAATGAAAAGCCGGTATTACTCATTCATTGTAAATAGTAAATGCAAAATTAATTCGGTCCACTACCAGTTAATTTTTTTTCAAAATTAATTTTAAAACATGAAAAGGTAGTACAGATGTAAAGATTCCCAATAACTGATTACTCTGTCTAATTGGCAAAAGTTTTTTCCCATATTATGAATAATTAAATATAATACTTGCCATTAATGCTGTGAAGATTGTTAAAGTAAATGATACGTGCATCGACAAGTACTTTTCTTCCTCTGAAAAATGGTGCGAATTGGCTTAAGTAAAAATCCGAAAAATTTAAGCCGCACATAAACGATGAATTAATTGATTTACGTATAAGCATATTTGAGAAAGTTTATATTGTAAAGTGTCAACATTAAAGAACAGGGAATCTTACAAATCCATAGGGAACAAATGACTTTTAATTAAATCACTTTCATAAGTGATTCAAAATTTCATTAAAGGATGTTTTCAGAAGCATAGGGAAGGTTAACTTTATTAACATGGGCACTTTGATCAATAACTCTGTCTTTATGGAAATTTTTGTAGTTAATCCAAAATTTTCGCATTTTTCTTACTTAACCTATTGGTTTAAGCTTATAAAACCTAGTGCTTCATTTCACTATAGAACCCATACCTCAAAACCTTTGTCTACTATCTTAAAATTAATCAGAATATAGTAAGCAACATAGAAAACATCTACTGTAAAAATGTAACATAGATGAGACATTTGATAAATCCTCCAGCAAAATTTTTAAATATGACCAACTAATCCTTACTTTAAATTCTTCGTTGATCAGACATTTAATAATATCTACACATTAGAAATTGTAAACCACTCAAAATCCTAAATAACATGCATTGCAGTATTACGTGTACTTTTTATCAACTGAATAGTGCTGTCGACGTGGGCTGTTTTCCCACTGCATGTTTTAAAATGTTTTGGAAGATGCAAACTTCATTTAAATAAGTTTAGAAAATATCATTAAAAACGGTAAATATTTAACTGATCTTAGCTATGCTTAAATGATTAGAAACAGACCGAACATAACGCTCTTATTCATTCACTAAATTTGTTTCACTTCTCTATCTTCTTTTTTTTTTTTTTTTTTCACTTCTTAAATTTATTCCACTTCCCTAAAAACATCCGAAAAATTGGAAACCTCAGATTACGCCCTCTTCTTTTAGGATCAATTACGAACAAAGTATTTCTGATGACGTGTTGAAAAAGTTTGAGATAACAAAGCAGAAATTTTGCATAGATATACATGTATGGTCCTGACAGGAAACAGAAGGGATGAAAAAAGATATGGCCAATCAGACAAAAGAATATTCAGAAGTTTCTGGTGAAATTAATTTTTCAGCTAAACCAATTCTTACGAACTTATGCAGTTCATTTTTTATGACCACTTGATAAGTAGTTGAATTTTACTAAAGTGAAGTGACAAGCTGGAATTCAATAAATGGCATTTGAAATGATAAGTGAAAGCCACTCTCCTTATGCGTATTTAGTTCCTCTCATACTTATAAAACAGTTATTCAAAATAAAAAAAAAAAAACATAAATTATTGGATTTTAATATGTAATAGTGAAAATATGTTTGGAACCGATTGTGGAGTTACTATCATCAACATTACAAATACATTCTTTTGGCCAAAATCTATGTAGATCATTGCCTCACTTTTAATTTTGTATTGAATGATTTGACCTTGTTTTTTAACACACAAAAAAAGAAAAAAAAATTATTGAAAGAAAATGTGAAATAATAGACAATTCCTGATAAGATATTGTGACGGTAGGAAAAGAAAGAATTCTACACGATTATTTCCTGATGAAATTTTTGATTTATAATAAATAAGAGGCATCTATGAAAAAGAAAGCAGGAAGTAAAAACAAGATGAAAATAACATCTAGGATAGCGCACCTTGTCTGATTTTAATGACGGATTGGGAGCAAATCGAAAAAGATAAAAAGGAGAGCTTGCATGTGTGCATCTCTGTTACTAAATTCGGCACTACTATTAGTAAATATTGGTGATTAGAATCCTAAAAACGGTAGTAAATTTGTGCAACTCCCGATGCATGTGCCCTCAGTACGATTTTCTCATCATTCCATCTTATCACCACAATTCTAATGCTTTCATTCCGTGGGCAAACAAAGTGAGAATTTGCATTTGCTGACTAACCTTATTAATAATTTTGTTTTAATTACTACTCTTAATGGATAATTTCCTTAAAGCTCCACTTGTTTAGAACAATTAGGTTCTAATTTCAATCTACATTTAAATAAATAAAGTGAAATAAGCATAAGAAGTTGTCATGCGGTTTCGCAGTACATAGTGCTAAAAAGGGTAGAATGAAATTAGTTTAAGGGATTAACAACAATCAAAATCTTTGATTAAAATATCAAAATGAAGAATAACGGAATAAGTCTGGCTGATTGCCAAAATCTGTGATGTATTGTTCGGTTATTATTTTATAAACAGATACATCTTTGTATTATAATAGTAAATAAGAACAAAACGCAGCAAGACCAAAGAGGAGATGAGAGCTGATACGACAATTCCCAATAGTAACGCATAAATCGGTTGATGAAGGGATTAAAAAACGATGGTTTTGCTATCCACTAGTAGGTGAGAACATACCAAAATAAGAGGACGTATTTTCGGATCTAGGGTTATTATTACCGTTTCAGTTTGCTTTTTATCATTAAACATCATTATTCAGAGAATTAATGCATGTAGGAAAACAGAAGGAGAAAAGTGCAATCTTCCAATGCAATGAGCGAATAAATCGTTGAAGAGTTTAGCATCAGTAGATTGTAAAAGATAACCAAATCAGAGTAAAAAAGCGCTGCTGATCCACTCAGAGGAACAGTTTATGTTCGTAAACAGAAAGGCACTAATCAATTCGATAATATATAGGTGGAGGGGAGGAGCAAAAATAGGATAAATTATGGAAATTCCATTAATGGGAACAGGATATCACCAAGTTATGCGCAAATTTGAACATATCAACAAACAATAATTGGAAAAAAGACAAAAAAAAATCTGATAAATTGAAACTGAGAAATAGTTTTTTTCGCTTATAAAAGATATGTATCTCAACAAACAGCTGAATAAAACAACTGCAAAAACCGATTTCAAATGATGTTCATAGAAAGAAATAAACAGATACTAATTGCTACTAATAAGTTTATTCATCAATGTCCCACCGATCCTTTCTGTTGTGAGACTTGCCAAAAAAAAAAAAAAAAAAGAATATATGCCCAGAAGTAGTTAAGTGAACAATGTGACAGAAAATTCTGTCTTAAAAAGGTTATATTGGCCAATCAGTTCAAGTCACCAATAGGCTAAACTGATACATGAAGCCGACATTTTGATCCTATTATAAGCCAGATTCCGACGAAACGATGCAATATACAGAATAATTCTAACAATATTGTTTACCCAAGAAAATAGCATTAAAAGTTTGTAAAGTTTGAAAGAATAAAACTGTTGTAACCATGCAATTTCTGGAATAAAGTCATGCAGACCACCTGCAGTGAGATGAGTCTTGAAAGTAAATATAAATTTGAGATTAAGGGAACAAGGAATAATGACCAATTTATTCATACATTCGTCAAGATACTGGTGTACACCCATCAGGATATGTGGATTTTGATGGAACACAATAAAAACAAGAAAAAAAAAAGGAAAAACTGCTACCGGTCCTAAAATTATCGTTGCTCATTTGCATTCCTGAAAGACTTCTTTAACTAGGAAAATTTTTTAGAAGGCATAGTGACTAGTATTTTATTAGGATCCGTCTGCTTTGCAGCTATATTCACGTATTTCAAGTAATAAAACAATACAAGATGCAGCTATGCTTTTGAATTTTTCGATTTTTCAAGGGGTAATATATCAACTAGAAGTTTTTCTCTAAAAATTACTTCCATTCACCAGTTTACGATAAACAAGTACTCTCTGTGCACCAAACTTTTTAAGATAGAATTAATCTTAGTTAATTTAATCCATTCAATAAAAACTCGTTTGTTGTAATGAGGTGTTTTTTTTTTTTTAATTTACTGTAAAACTGGTAGCAAAAATGTTGAATAGCAATATATTTTAGACAAATATTTTTCGAGGGATGTCTTCATTTTCACTACTCAATGAATAAGATTAAAAAGCTTCTTGGATATTAGATATATTAAACCTTGTTTACTTATTTGTCTTTGATACTGATTTTTTAAAATGATACTTATCAAATAGGTTTAGTAACTTTCAAAAGTGCAAATTTTTATTTAAATTATAAGCCACAAAAAATTTTGAAAAAGAATTTAATCTCTCTGACGTGTAACCAATTTTAGAAATTCATCAATTTGATCGATGTATTTTCCTTTTGAGACTAACTACTTCGATTAAATAAATCAGTCTAAATGCGAAAAAGCCCACAGGAAATAGTGTTAGAAGTAATTCGTTTTCATTTCTCTCATTTTATAAGCGTAAAATTGCTGGTCAGATATAACTGAGAGTGGTATTTGCTGAAGTACTCTTTGCTATCTGCTAATCTTCCTTTGGGTTAAAAAGGAGACATGGTTGGCTGACTGCCCTATTTGTTTTGAAAGATTCAGAAAATGGAACAACAGTCATTTGCTGAAGTTGAACATTCCATACGTTGCAATGTCTTTTTCAGAACATTTTCGTTTTTATCATCTGTTCCGTACACATAAAACATGTTTTACAAGTTTGCTGACATTATTTCATTCATAAGGCGTAATGCGTTTCTCAAATCCTCAAGAAAAGAATCACTGTGAATTCGTGCTAATGAAACTAGAACATGAACATGGAAGAAAGATTATTTCACAACATATTTTGTCAATTCAGAGAATGGAACAAAAATTATTTGTAATCATAGTTTAGAGTTTGAAGAATTTGACTGGCTTCATTGCATCCAGAGTTCAAGAAAAACATGCTGTGTTTTCGGATTGAAAGTAATGTGTATAGAACAATTAGTTTACTTGTTATCTTATCATGTACTAATTATCTACAGAAACAAATTGCTGCACAATTAGTTATAGACTGATTAAACAGGGATTTCTATCACGAACGCAATAGAACTATCAAAACGGATTTTAAAATAAAAACTCACCTATAAAAATATCCTTAAATCTATTAATCATATTATTCTTTTTTCACTCTTACTTTGATAACTTTCTGACTTGTTCACCTATTAATATAAGTCAGTACACTTTAG